TCCCTTGTTTCTACTACTTTATCTTCTTTGTGTGGACTGTGATGGTCTATTGTCTCTGAGACATTGTGATGTTGTTGTATTTATATTTAATTTGCAATTGCATGTTTGAGTTATTCACCCAAGATATCTGCTTTCTTTTGATATATCTGAGTAAGCAGAATACTGTGCTCCTCTATTCACTAGTTGGCAGCAGTTATGCATTCACCACCTGCCTCCTGGATGGTGTGATAGAGAATGAGATTGGGTGCACAGATCTCTGTTAGCTGTGAAGAGCAGTTAAGGGTGAGTCAGGCTCATATCAACAGTTGTGTATCATTGACCAGTCAGTGTCAAAGCAAGTGGTGGGCCTCCCTCAGTAGGTGGGGCTTCTGGAGGTATGGGTATAGTTGGGTCATATGAGAATGGTTGCTGTTTCTCACTCAGTTAGACGAAAACAGTCAAATCAATCATTTCTTGAAAATGCTTGAAAACAATTTAAAAAAAAAAAAAAACACCAAAAAAGTAAAACCAAGAGGACAAAAAACACAGTGCATAAACACACAGGAACAATCACCAAAAAGAGAAAGAAAAAAGAAAAAAAAATGTAAAGACAATAAATGAGAGGAAATATTTAAAGAAATACTTTAAAAAGACAAAAGAAATATAAATAGAAAAAGGGAGGTGTGTTAGACTGGGTTCTCTAGAGAAACAAAACCAGCGTATATATATAGAGAGAAAGAAAAATTTATCTTAAGAAAATGGTTCACACACTTATAGAAGCTAGCAAGTCCAAAGTTCTTGGATCAAATGTCAAGTTGGAGGCTTTTCCCAACTCTCACAGCTGCAGGGGCTGAGGAGCTCAAGGTTGGCAGGCAGTATACTGGCTGTTGACTCCAACAAATGACGAATCCAAGATCTCCAGGCCGAATGGTAGATTGTTTGCTCATGGACAGTTGTAGGCACCACAACAGAATCCCAATCCACAGATGAATGTCTCTTTTCCCAGGATGTCCATAAATAAATGGGAAGCAGGCCACACCTGTAGGGAAACTCCCTTTCAATGGATTGGCTGCTCAAAACATATTCATCTGATCCCACCTTGAGAATAATCACATCGTAACTGCTTAAACCACACAGAATTGTGGTCCAGCCAGGTTGACACACAGCTCCAACTATCACAGGGGGAAAAAATCCATGATACCTAGGGAGGGGGCAATAAGAGAAAAGAGCTAGAGTAAAAGAATAATAAAGGAAAACATGAGAAAAATGCAAAAAGCAAAAATAAAAAGCATGGAAAGAACCATAAGGAAGCGAAAAGATGGAAACCAGGAAAAGGGAAGAGGGGGAAAAAAAAAAAAAACCTAGAACCTGGGAAGGGAAAATGAAAGAATAAAATAAAAAGGAACAACAACCAAAGAAATAATTTTAAAACAAACAACAACAAAAATCTAGAGTCAGGGCAGGTGGCAGGGCAGGGCAGTCTCCATCAGAGCACACAGACTAGGATGGAATTCCTAGCAGTCAGAAGGTGGGTGGAGGCAGGGAATGGCCGTATCTCCTTTCACCAAAAGGGTGTGGGGTATAAAACTAACAAGAGGAATACTGAGCCCACCTTTGGTTGGTTTGAACCACTGACCTTTCAGTTAGCAATCAAGTGCCTTATCCACCATGCCACATATTTAATCCAATTTTGTGTCCTTCCTTTCAAAGCTCAGGGCTCCAGGATTATCTTCTCTATCTGTGTCAATTGCTTTCTCTTTTCTTTGTTGAAAAGGATCTGTGTAGCTTGTCTGCCTATTCTGCCATCTTGCCAGAAGTCCCTAGGTCTATGAACCATTTTGAGTTAATTTTGTTTATGATATGAGGTAGTAGACCATCATTCTTTTGCATATGGATATCCAGTTGTCCCAACACCTTTTCTTGAAAATGCTTTTCTCCCACTATTGAATTATCTTGGCACCTACGTTAAAATAAAGGAAAAAAAAATCAATAGACTATAAGTGTGAGATCTATTTCTGGACTTCCCAGTCTATTCTCTTGATCTACATGTCTATCCTATGCCATTACCACACTGTCTTTAGTACTGTGGCCTTTCAGTAAAATTTGGAATTGGGAAGTGTGACTCTTCTGGTTCCATCTTCTTTTTCAAGATTGTTTTGAGTCCCTTGAATTTTCCATATGAATTTTAGGATCATCAGTTTTTGCACGCACACACACACACACACACACCCCTACACACACAAAGCAGTTGGGATTTTAATAGGTACTGAGTTGATTCAGTAGATTAATTTGAGGAGTATTGCCATCTTAATGGTACTAAATCTTCTCATCTATGAACATGAAATGTCTTCTCATATGTAGGTCTTATTTAATTTTTTTCAGTGATGTTTTATAGTTTTCAGTATAAAAGTCTTATACTTCTTTTATTACACTCATTTTATTCCTAACTCTTTTGTTTTTGATGATATTTTAAATGGAAATGCTTTCTTCATTTTCTGATTGCTCATTGCTAGTATATAGAAATACAAATGATTTTTATATAGTGAATTGTATTCTGCAACCTTGATGAACTTAGTATAAGTTCTAGTATTTTCTAAATGAATTCCTTGAGATTTTTTAAATGCAATATGTCATCTATATAGAGAAATATAGATTTACGTCTTCTTTTCCAATCTGATGCCCTTTGCCACCCAGCCCCCACCCCCACCACCACCACCACCACCAATGGATCTAGAACTTCCAGCATAGTGCTGAATGGAAGTGGCAAGAGCAGACATTCTTTTCTTGTTTCTGGTTTTAAGGGGAAAACTTTCAGTCTTTCATTGTTAGTATGATGTTGGCTGTGGGTTTTCATAGATGGCCATTTTCCAGTTGAGGAAGTTCTCTTCTATTTCTAATTTGTTGATTATTTTTCTCGTGAAAGGGTGTTGGATTTTGTCAAATGTTTGTCTGCATCAATTGAAATGATGATGTAGTTTTTGTTCTTCATTCTTTTAACATGATTTTTTTTAACACTGATTGATATTTATATAATTAAACTAACCTTGCATTCCTGAATTAAATCTGACTTGGTCATTGTATCAGTCAGAATTCTTTGCTTTCTCATCACCATTTTGTAATTTTTAGCATACATATTCTGTACATGTTTTGCTGTGTTTGTAAATATTTCATTTGCTTTGGAGTAATTATAAATAGTATTGGGTTTTTAATTTTGGCTTCCATATGTTCATTATTGTTGTTGTTGTTGTTTGCTGTCGAGTCGGCCCCGACTCATAGCGACCCCTCCTTGGGTTTCCGAGGCAGTATCACCACGGAAGTAGGATTGCCCAACCTTCTTTCTGAGGAGTGGCTGGTAGGTTTGAACCGCTGGCCTTCTGGTGAGCAGTCAGGTGCCTTAGGCACTATGCTACCAGAGCTCTTATGTTCATTATTGGTATATAGAAATGCAATTGACTTCTGTGTGGTGGACTTGTATGCTGCTATCTTTCTAGACTCATTTATCAGTTCTAGTATTTTTTTTTTTTTTTTTTTGGTAGGCTTATTGGGATTTTCTATGTAGATAGTTGTATCACTGCAAATAGCCTGTATTTCTTTTTTCCCTTAATGCATGGGCTAGAAATTCCAGTCCTATGTTGAAAAGAGTAGTGAGAGCAGACATCTTTGTTTGTTACCATGCTTAGGGAGAAAGTATTCCTTCTTTCACCATTAAGTGTAAGGGAAGTTGTAGATGTTTTGCAGAGACTCTTTATCAAGTTGAGGATGTTTTTCTCTATGATAGCTTTTAATCTTAAATGGGTGTTGGATGTTGTCTAATATTTTTCCTGCTTCAATTTATATCGTCATATGATTTTTCTTCATTAGTCTGTTAACATGGTGGATTAACTGATTGATTTTAGAATACTGAATCAGTCTTCATATCTATATGATATCTTTTGATGAATAGAAATTCTTAATTTCACTGTAACAAATACATCAATCTTTTCTCATTTGAGCTTTATGAGTTAAATTTTAAAAATTCCCTCCTACCGTGCAGTTATAAAGAGCTTATATTTTGTTTTCTAAAAGCTTTTGGCATTAACATTTTATATTTAGATATATATTCATATGGAATTATCTTTTTATATATATTTTATGAGGTGGGAGTCCTGTTTAACTTTTCCCCTTATGGACAACCAATTGTCCTAATACCATTTAGTGAAAAGTTCATCCTTTCCACACTAATGTACAAAGTTACCACTCTCAAACATTCATTTTCCCTGTGTGTAGTTCTGTTTGGGGGCAGTCTGTTGTACCCCATTAATACCTTAGTAGCTTTATAAGTGTTCTTTTTTCTGAAAAAAAAAAGTACTCTTAATATTTGGTAAAGCAAGTCTTCCCATCTTATTCTTCTTTAGAATGTCTTAGATATTCCTACCTATATATTTTCTTTTAATTTTGAAAAATAATGCCAAATTACTTTCTAAAAACTTCCCCTTTACATACTTAATAGAATGAAGGTACATCTTTTTCAACATTTCTTATTAATCTTTTAAATTTTGGCCACTCTAAAAGAAAAATGATATCTTGTTGTGTTAATTTGTATTTTTATGACTGACTATAAAATTAAGAACAATTTCATATGTTTTTGACTCTGCCCTTTTAATAGTCAGCTTTCACTAGCTAATGCTCTGTAACAAAGCAACTTCAAAATCTATGTTGCTTGCCAGAGTACGTGTTTATGTTTTGCTAACTTTACATGAAAAGTATCATAAATCTGCCCCAAATTATGGGCAACAGCTGGTAATACATGCATTATTTCTGGATTATAGAGTGGGCAAAGTCTTGTGCAATTGTATTTGCTGCTGAAGTCTCTGCATCCTTTGCATTCTTCCCAGCCTGTGTTATAAAGACTGGAACCTTTTGCTAAATTTTCACCATAGATTCAGAATACTTAGCTCTTTGCTTAGGGAATTATAGCCTACCTTCCTGTGTGGCCTTGGGAAGTGTTATCCCCACACTAGCAGGGCACTCTTGTGTTCCAGCTACCTTCCTGTGTATGCTGAGGTACAGAAGCCCCATGTGTACCTGCAGAGCAGCCACATGGAGGTCAGCAACCTCTACCTGGGTGTGCCCACAAAGGCAGCCATCACACTCATCAATGGCACGCTTCTGCCCACCCGGTTCCAATGGGGCAAGGTGAGTGAGCCCACACTATTGGACCCCAAGGCCCGTAGACTGTAGCAAAAAGGCCCATGTGGAGGGTATGTTCCTCTCACGTACCCTCAGAATAGATCCTCAGCCTCTTCCTTCAGCCTGTCCCTTATTCTATAGTGCCCCCAAAAGCTTAGCTCCTCAAAGGAGCACCGAATCTGGTTTGACTCTTGTTCTATGTTCAGGGAATTCCTGTCCCTTGCCTAAAGAGACTCTGGTGAACACAGTTAAATCCTCCCAGCCATTGTAGCCCATGACTATGCAGCTGCTGGGAGCTCAGTTGTGGCACTGGCCTTCAGACTGACTGTGGAGCTAGCTCTGAATGCCATGGGAGATAGAACCTCACCCATGTGCATCAGAGGCAGCTGCCCTCAGCTCCCTAGCAGGCTGGGCCTCCCAGCCTTGCTTAGTCTAGGAAAGCTCCTGACAGGAGATAAGGTCCATTCAAGGTGAGGGGAGGAGACAAGGGAGCTGTGCTTTATCCCCTAGAAGTAAACACCCAGCCCTGTTGGTCCTGCTGATGACAGGCCCCCAGTGTGCCAGCCAGAGAGCGTGAAGCAATCTAAGCATACTTTCTGGATCCTGGGTTCATCCTATGCGCCCAGCATGTGATAACAGGCTCACCCATGTGTCTTCTAGCTCTTGGGGCACCAAGCAGCCCTCTGCACAGTCAAAGTCTCCCCCAGACGTGGTATGCTTGGTCCCAGTGAGGAGCGCCAGCTCAACTTAGAGTTGACTGCTCATACCCCGGTGAGTAAGGCAAGGAGGGGCCTGGGTGACTGGGAGGGTATTCCACCAACTCTCTGCATCTGTGCTCACAGGGAGGTCCCACTCCTGGTCCCCATGGGTAAGGAAGAGATTTGTTGCATTTGGGTCTCAATTCCTGCAAGGGTTGCTCTAGGGACATAGGGTAAGGAGCCTATGAACCTAGGAACAGAACTAGATATGTCCTGAAAACTGGTGGCCATGCTCAGCCTTTGATACCGTTAGCCCTCACCAGGCCATTCTCAGTGGCACAGATAGGCCCAGCTTTCCAATTTTTCCAGAGATCCAGAACAGAGCTGCTTCTCAGAGCAAGCCCTATGCTGAGTGCTGCTGGGGAAGGCCAACTGCTAGCCAGGTTTCTCTTGGAGGGGAAGCATTCTCCCCACAGTGACCTGTAAGAAGGTCATCAGAGCAGAACATATTCGGTACTTGGGCCTTTGCTGGCTACTCCTTTATCATTCTTGTGGGAAAATGTAACTTTTTCCCAACAGAGACTTGTAGACCAGTTCCTCACTTGCAAACATGGGGATAGGCTTTCCTGCACAGCTAAGCCTGGGGTAATGGACAGGTGGGCCCAGGATTAGCATGGAACAGACCTTGCTCCAGGAGGGTGTGATTTCTATGTGTTGACCGTGTGGAATGCAGTGCCCAATGAGATGCAAAAGTGCTACTGGGCTGAGTTGTAGCTACTTCATCAGAATAAATATGTGGCTGGAAACAACTGGTCCAAAGGACTAATACACCACACAAACCACAACCTTCACTACCCTGAGACCAGAAGAATTAGATAGTGCCTGGCTACCACTACCAACTACTTTAATTGGATCACTATAGAAGGTCCTGGATAGAGTGGGAGGAAAAAAAAAAGTAGAACAAAATTCAAAATCATAAAACATACCAGACTTACTGGCCTGATAGAGATTTTTAGAACTCCTGAGTCTATAGCCCTTAGACACCCTTCACACCTGGGACTGAACCCACCCCTGAGGATCAACTTTCAGCTAAACAAGAGATGGGCCTATAAAGTGAACAAGAACACCAGAGTGGAATGTATTCCTTAGAATAATCAACCATATGAGATCAAAAGGGCATCATTTGCCTGAAAACAAAGCTCAGAAGGCAGGAAGGAAGGATGAATGGAAATGAGGAACCCAGGGAGGAAGTGGGAAGAGTGCTGTTACATTGTGGGGATTGCAATCAGTGTCACAAAACAAAATGTGTATAACCTGTTGATTGGAAAACTAATTTTCTGTAAACTTTCCCTCAAGCCACAATAAAAATGTTTTTTAAAAGAACGAGAATAAATGTGCTTCTCCAGAAGTCCTCTTTGAGGGGTCTACCTCATATTGGCTTGCCCAAATGTCTGGAGCAGATTCAGCCATGAGTTCTGAGGGAGGACAAGACCTCCCAGGGGCTGAGGTCCAAGGCTGGGCTTGTGGACAGTGGCTCACTAGAGAGACTGAGGAGCCCTTCCAGACAGATGAGCCTGGAGAGATGTTGAGGCCTTCGGTTTAAACCACCCTACAGCCACCACTCCTGCTGAGGGCCCTGAATCTTCCCTGTAGTGATGTGACCTTGGATGGGCTTTTCTTATAGGAAGAGCTGACCAATCTGGTCCTCCTTTGTCATGTGTCAGGCATGGAGAAGCCACTGGTCCTGGGCATATCCGGGAAACCCCAGGGACTGCAAGTGGCCATCGCCATCTCTATGGAGGGCTCTGATACCAGGTAAGCCCATGGCTAGGGCCAGGGCCTGAGGGTTGAGGTGACCCCACAATGAACCAGCATCTCCCCACAGTGCCAGACTGCTCCTGACTGATTTCCTGCAGTCAAGGAAAGACCACAGTATTATTGTAGCCCCTGACCACTCCTGTATGGAACAGATCCACATACCTTATCCCCTCCCTCTGTGTGGCCTTTCCCCACAAACTTGGTGGCAGGGAGCCTAGGCAGATAGGAGATGACAAGGAACAGTGCTGTAGATATCTTGGGCCTTCCTGCACAGGGCCCAGCAGCTGGGAGACAGGCCAGTCTTCCCCTGGCCAGGGAGAGTTTGTGCAGAGCTTGAGGCCTCTCTTGGTGTCAGGGGTAGGTAGGAGAGATGGACCTGTGGGGTGGTAGTTCAATGAGGAGGGTGCCCAAGGATGAGAGGCCTGATTCCTGGGCAGTTCTCATCCCACCCAAGGTGGCAGGGCTGGGCCAAGGGTGATGTGTAACACAGTCCCTCTGGGCACGGGGCAGCTTCTTCAGCACAGAGCAGTGGCCAGGCCGCCTGGAGGAGCTCCACCTGGACTTTGGCTCAGCAGTGCCACTGAGGACCCGTGTGAACTGCCAGCTCATCCTGACCAATCATTCCCCGATACCGACCCCTTTCACTCTGAATTTTGAGTACTTTGGGAGCCCGAAAAGCAGCCTGAGCAAAAAGGCCAGCCTGTAAGTCTACTTCTTTTCAGAAGCAGGTCCCACGGTGGGTGTGACTCTGGCTTACTCCAGAGACTGGTTGGTGTGAGAGTTGGGAGGATGGACATGAGGACACACAGAGAGTAAATGGCTCCTGATGCCTACCCACCAGACAATGAATGTAACTGTGAGAGAGGCAGTGATGTGGTCCTTTCTCCTCAGTCTGGCCTGCTGAGGTGGAGGGCTTCTAATAGACCCAGAAGTATTTGGGCCTATGGTTGAGGCAGGAGTTCCTCAGGTGGTGGGAACTGTGTCAGCAAAGGTGTAACAGTGAGGGGGCCCATGTGTTCAGAGAATAGCAAACAGCATGTCTGGGCTGACGTGGAGGGCAAGGCAAGGAAGAGATCCACTGTGGGTGCCCAATGGAGAAGACAGATCAGCAGAGTTGCTATGGTCAAGAGCAGAGGTGAGACCTAGCACACTGTTTACACACACACACACACACACACAGATGTGCTGGAGCCTGCAAGTACTGGCTTCCAAAACAAAACCAAATTCACTGCCATGAAGTCAGATTTGACTCATGGCGACCCCTCCTTGGGTTTCCAAGGCGGTATCACTATAGAAGTAGATTGCCCCATCTTCTTTCTGAAGAGTGGCTGGTGGGTTTGAACCACCACCCTTCTGGTTAGCAGTGAAATGACTTACACACTACACCACCAGAGCTCCTAGTACTGGCTTAGGAAAGCCAACTGTTAAGTATTCAAACACTTTGCAAGGCTGTAGCTGGAAATCAGCCACAGTGAGAGTATTTACACCACAGAAATCAGCAAACACTACAAATCAAGGCTTTTTTCTCCCTTTCTTTTCCTGAAGAGCCAGTTTATCAGCACACTGCTACATGATACCTTACCACCTAATCTCCTAAGGCAGGGGAGCCCAACTTTAAAAATCACTGCCATGGGGATAACTGTGTGTATATATGTGTTTAGAGGCAAGAATAGTTTCTAAGCCATGAACTTTTCCACTCTGGAAAACTTAGTGTTCACCTGAGGCCGGGCAGGTGTCAGTGGCAAAGACTGGAAAAGGGGCTGTTTCAGAAGACTGGGCCAGAGGTGGGGAGGGTTTATATCCAGGGGTCTCCGGGGCACAGAGCCTGGGGGCCAGGAGGAGAGCTTCAGATCGCAGAGCCTTCTTAAGCGTCTGGGGCTGGCAGATGGCCTGCAGATGGGAACATTCAGGCTCTTGGTGTGGGTGCAGTGGGAGCAAAGACTGGAGAAGGAGGTGAGCAAGAGACCTGAGTAGCTTTCCCTGGGAGGAGCAAGCAGGGCCACATTCCTTGGCTGGGCACCTGGTGCGATGCTGGTTGCCATGGGCAGAAACTCAGGTCTTGGATAGTGTTTGGATGTCTTGATACTATTTCTGTGTCTCTGTCTTATAAAGCCGTGACATGCCCCCTGCCTTGCTAAAAACAGCACGGATTCAAGAGCACTTGGCCAAACGTGAGCAGCTGGGTAAGATCCACCAGGGTGGGTGCTACTGGGTGCAGGCCATGGCCAGAGCTGGGTTTCTTGTGGCCTTCTGAGGATATGGGACAGAACCAGATGCCTATGTTTCTTTCTAGCCACAGTCACCAAGATGGCCAGGGTCTTTCCTTTGACAGGGCCCCTCTTGAATGAAGCCATCTCCCTGCTAGCATAAGCCTTAGGCATAGGGCCTGGATTTGATTTGGGACAGTTGGTGGCCCATAAGGGAAGGTTATAACTGGGGCCTGGCCTCTTAGGCAAGAGAGGCTAACCAAGCAGTGCCCTGAGCCTGCTCGCTCTGCCAGGATAAGGGTGTGTTTAGCTTGACCAAGGCAAGGCTGCAGGGTGTCTTGTCTGACAGTGTGACAGTGCTTTGCTCACACCCGAAGCTTTGGACCTCATTCCCACCCCTGGGTCCTGAATCTCTACTCTCAATTCTTTGCCAGATTTTATGGAGAACGTGTTGTCTCATGGGAAAGGAGCTGCCTTTTTCCCCCATGTTTCCCGAGGCATGCTGGGAGCCTACAAAGAGCTAAGCATTGGCATCACAGGCTGTGCAAACATGTGGGGCGAGTACTGGGACAACCTCATCTGCATGGTAAGGGCATGCAGTCAGCAGTAGCCTGGGGGTGGGGGAAGCAGGTCCCCAGCCTTCCCCTTCAGGCTTTCTGTCCTCCAGCACTTGACTGTCAGCCTCACAAATCTTACCACTGAAAGGCAAAGCCCACCAAGCTCAAGATGGGTGTTCACATCTGCAGGAGCCTCTAGGGTCAAGGCTGAGAAGGTTTAGGCAGAAGAGCTACTACTCATGAACATTAAAACCTTCCATACCTTTTCCCATGAGGTGCAGGGCTGCAACCACAGTGAGGAGGGCAGAGGAATCAGATGGCTGCCTGCCTGGGCCAGAAGCCTGGAGTGGGGAGTGAGGAGTGGTGGGACAGCAATAGCCTCCCAGAACTGCATCCTCACCTTGCCCTCTGGGCATTCATTCATTTGCTCATTGGCTCGTTTATTTGCTCATTAATTCAGCATGTGTGGCTTGTTGTACTGTGGAGAATCCAGGGATAACAGGTGATGTCTATCAGGAGCTTGTAATTCAGTATGGGAGGAAGAGACATGTATACATTATTCTGTAAGTGCAATGCAACTCACTGCCATCAAGTTGGATCTGACTCATAGCACCCCTCCTTGGGTTTCCAAGGCGGTATCACTACAGAAGTAGATTGCCCAGTCTTCTATAGTATTTAGTTACTGCACAAAAGAGTTTCATGAACTATTCAGGAAATTGAACAGGTTAATTATAGTAGTTGGTTTAGATGATTTGTAATCTATTGACAAAAGATTGATTACCTTAATAGACAAAGAGTTCCTAAATAACAATAAAAGGGAATAAAGCATCTCAAATGGGCAAAGAGGTTGAATATGCAATTCACAGAAAGACAAACAGATAAATACATAAAATGTGTCAACACCACCAGTAATGAAAAATGCAAATTAAAATAACAATGAAATACTAGTTATCTATCCCCCCCCCTACTCGGAGTGGGATCTATGTAGGAGATCCTAGATAGAGTAGGAGAACAATGTGGAATAAAACTTAACATCATTATTTAAAAAAAAAAAAAGAGGACCAGGTTAGCTGGTCAGATAGAGCCAGTGGAACCCCTGAGACTACAGCCCCTAGCTGCCCTTCAGGTCTGGAATTGAACCCACTTCTGTGGCTTCCAGCCAAACAAAAGACAGGCATATGAACTGAACATTTACATTAGGTAGACACACTCCTTGGAAAGATCAATCATGGGAGAATAGAAAGGCTGTGTATGCACAGGGAGACAGCTTGGGGGGGCAGGAGTACATGGGTGGGAAGGACACGGAAGGAGTGGCTATGGGGAGGAAATGGGAGGAGAGCTGTTGCATTGTGGGAGATTACAGTCAATGTCATGAGACAAAGTATATGTGAACTGCTGTATGGAAAATGAATTTGCTCTGTAAACTTGCACCCAAATCACAATAAAATTAAAAAAAAGAAAGAAAGAAAGCATGTCCAGTATGTCCCTATTTATATATGTGTTTTATGACACTAAAGAAAGGCTAGACAGTTGTGCACTAAAACATTAACAGAGAGTCATTCTAGGAAGGTAGGCTTAAAGATAATTATCACACTGTATTTTAAATATTTAAAAAACCAATATTTGTTACTTTTTATTGTCAGAGAAAAACAAATTCTTTCCATTTAAAAAAATACAGAGATTTGGTAGAAGAGGGCCGTAAGAGGCAAAAGTATCAGAGCAGGAGAGCTGACTTCAGGCTGGGGGAGCTGTGTAGGTTGTGGGGCTGGGGAGGGAGAGCAGAGATGGAAGGAAAGCTGGGCTAGAAGGTATGGCAGCCCTAGGCCTTTGGGTCTGGAGTAGGCGTCATATGGCTGGGACCAAGCTGCAGAGACTCTGGGCTGGCTGGAAGAGTGGAGTGGGGAACTGGGGAATGTGGTGGCAGTCCAGGACAGGAGTGACTAAGGGCTGGTATATGTTTGCAGGTGGGAGACCTGCCTCCAGCAATCATCCCAGTGCACATGGCTGTGGTGGGCTGCCCCATCAGCTCCCTGAGGACCACCTACTACACCATTGGCCAGTCCCACAAGGAACCTGTCATCAGGTGCCTGACCCACAGCCTCATCCTCTGCTCCCCAATGGCCCCTGAAACCATCTGGTCTTAGCTTCTTCTGCCCTCCAGTCTGGGCTGCCCACATAGGCTTGTTGCTCTTCAGCTGGGCTGGTGTCACATGGGGCCAGCCAGCAAGAAGCCAGGGCAGGGCTGGCCTGGAGAGAAACTTCACCATCTTTATATCTCTGAGGGCTTCTGAGCTGTAGTAGTGAGTAGTCAGTATGGCTCAAGGTTAGTGCCAAACCCAGGCCCCCTCACATCAACTGAGTTGGAATCAGTATAGTCAGAGCAGTGTAGGGAAGGGATTGCTAGGGCAATGAGCAGCCCCGAGTCACAGTTCAGCGGGCACTGCATGGGAAAGCCTCCAGCCCTGGTGACTCTGGGGTGAAGAGGACAGACCATGGTAGTGCCTCCTCCCTGCCTGACTCTCCCCGCTCCCAGCCCCAATCTCAAAAGTAACCCTGCCTGCAGGGTGTGCCTAGATGTGGCTGTGCTGAACCTGATCTCCCCATCCCCAGGTTCGGCACTCAGCTCTCTGGAGGGGACAAGGTCACCCGAGCCCTTCGCCTGAACAACTCCAGCCCCTGTGGTGAGATGCTCACAAGATAAGTCGGGGCTGTAGCTATAGGCTGTGCCTTGTGCTAGGCCAGCTGACAGGGGAAATGGGGCTGGGATATGGCCCATGAACAAGACTTAGGAGTCCAGGAGGCCTGTGGTCACTGAGGGAGGCACCTGAGGGCCAAGGCTGGGGGAGGGTTGGTGATAAAGCCACCTCAGGGCATCAGAGAGTGACTTGAGTCTTTGAGGACAGGACTTGCCTTTGCCCAGCTTTGGATCTCCCAGCGTCAATAGGGTCACAGATGCCCAGCTCTCATCAGGGTCATTTTGCATAAGGACAGACACTTCCAAGGAACCCTTTTTCATTGCTTCAGCTTCAGTAGTACCTGAGCCATAAGCCAGATGCTCTGCAATCTGCTGGGGGTACAGAGGGACTAGAACAGTGGTGCTGCTGTGGACTTACATCCTGATGGTAGGACAGACATAACCACAGGCTGCCAGAGTACTGATTGTGTTGATACAACTGAAGGGGAAGGTTAGAATACTGGGGTAGTGGGCTGAGGACACCTAGGCCAGGCTTCCCTGTTGGGGGAGGTACTTTTGCTGACTACAGGAGGAAGCGTCGCCAGCTTGGCCTGGGGAAGTGTCTGGGGATAAAGAGTGTTTCATGGGGAGAACATAGACAGCTCAAAGGCCTGAGGGGGATGGGCACATTTGAGGAGCCAGCATGGGTGCACACATCAGAATCACTTGGGGGAATGTTGGAGTCCTGAGGCTGGAGTCCACCTTCAGTCAACTGATTCAGGGTCTCTGTAGGCAGGCCCTGGGCACTGTCATTTTAAAGCTTTTCAGGTGATTCTAATGCATAGTCAGGGTACAGCACTGCTGCTCTATGACTTTGTGTTTGTCTTCTAGATCTGTGCAGTTTTTAAAGAGTGTATTGAAGTCTATTAACTGTAATCCTATTTTTATCAAGTTCTTGCATTTCTAGCAGTTTTGCTTTATGTTCTAGCTGCTGTATTGTTAGATGCACTTGAGTATTGGATCATCTTCACAAATTATGCCTTTTATCATCCCATAACGCTTCTCCTTGACCTCTTTAGTGCTTTTAACTTTAAATTCCACCTTGCTTTATATTAACTTATATTGGTACCCCTGATGTTTTCTCATTGGATTTGTTTGGTACCCATCCCTCTATTTTCACCCTTTGCTGTGTGTTTTTTGTAAGCAAAGAGCCAAGTTAAAAAAAAAAAAAAAAAAAAAAAAGCCAATCTCACATTCTCCACACCTTAATGAAAAAGCCAGTTGATTCATATATTTCTTCCATCTTATCTTATGACTTATTTGACTTCATTGTTTTCTTTGTGCTGATTTGATCAAATTACTATTTATTCTATTTTCTCTTTATTAAATTTGAAATTTTTCTTCTATTTTTCCCTACTTTAGTGGTTAATTTTCCTTTCTTAGACCTCATAATCCAATGTACATTTCTCTGTCTCTTCTTAAAAGTAAGATTATTCACTGAACTTCAGGGTATGGAGGTCATTGGTGACCTTGGTGAGAGTGATTTTGGTGGATGTAATAAGTATAAGAAATACAAGGTCAGAAACCTTGAGTGTTGTGTTCCCTAGGGCAGGCACAGAGCCTGGCAATAAAGTATTCAATAAATCAAATGTTTAAGTTAAATGAGGAGTAGATGAGAGAGAAGGAAGGTAAGGTGATTATGGACAACTTGTTCTAGAAGTTTACTGTGAAGGAGAAAAAAGAAGGTGGTCCCCGGTGGAGGGCATCTGCTTAAGGTCATATGTTTATGACAGGGAGAGCTGAACTTGGTTCCAAGTGCTGTTGGGAAGTGGCTAAAAGAGGTTAAAGTCTGATGACAAAAGAAAGAAGGGATACTGGACATGGCTGGTTCTTGAGAAGTTGGGGGTGTTGGCAACAAGATTGAAGGCAGGAAGGAAGGAAATGATGGTAGATACAGATACATGCATAGGCTTAGGATAGGACTTGAGGGACTTTCTGATTTGGTACTTCTGGGGGATGTGGAGAGCATTAGGGAGGCAGACGGACATGTCAGTGGCGAGCAGGGAAGGCTTGACATTGTTGTGGTGCAGGCTGGGCAGGAAAGTTCACCAGGAACATGGAGGCCCAGATGGCATAAGCCATCTTATGGCATAAGCCATCTTATGGCATAAGCCACCAGGAACATGGGGGCCCAGTTTAGGTGGGGACAGATTTATGGGGGTGACAATCTGCTCAGCTTGGGGGCTGTTATCCAGTGGTGCCCGGAAGGAAAGTTCAGATCAGTTCATTCAGGGTTAGGTTTTGCAAAGTGGGTGGAAGGATGGAGGATCCAGCCAAGACTGAGGTTGGAATGGCAACTCCCAGAGACTAGCCTGGTTGAGGAAGGAAGTGAAAGCCAATGGGGCAAATGGAAAGAGGGAGAAAAATCAGAGGGTGCAGAGGTTTGAGGGCCCTGGAAGGTCAGCAAAGAGGCTGGCAAGAGAGGAGGCTGTGGAAAGAGAGGAGTGCCTAGATTCCTGCATTTGGATTTAGAGGTGACAAGTAGTTCTCTTGGCCTGGAGTCCAGGAAGTGACAATGATGCAATGATGAAGGCTAAAAGTGATATAGCCAGATGGTGTAAGCCCAAAAAACTTAACTTTTTTTTTTTTTTTTTTTTAACAAGAATTGCCTAGAAATAGTATTAGAGAGGAATTGTGGGAGAACGGGCAGCATCTGTTTTGAGGAGCTCCAGGGAAGAGGCAGCCTAGGGAGCTTTGTCTCCACCTTTCCTTATTCCTTGCCCTTGTTCCCCATATCTGCCTCAGACATCCGCCTGGACTGGAAGACCTATGTTCCAGAAGACAGAGAAGAACGGCTGGTAGACCTGCTGGTGTTTTATGGACCACCCTTCCCACTGCTTGACCAAGCTGGGAACGAGCTAATGTGCCCTGAGAGCCCTGAGACTAGCTGCTTCTCCCAGTCCCCATGTCCATCAAATGCTTCAGACTCTGGTCGTGAAGCTGCCCAATCTGTGAGCAGATGGTGGTGGGCAAGGTGGGCTGGCCACTCAGGGCTGCTGAGGTGCAGGCAGTGGTGCAGTTGGACCTCTGTGAGCCTGGGGACTCCTTAATGACAGGACAAGAGCAGCCCTGGTGGCAGCAAGGGTGCACAGAAGATCATCTCAGTCATCCTGCAGGAGCATGAAGGGGTACCCTCTGACTGCTTGTACTCTGTCAGCCCAAAGCAGGTGGTGAGTCAGGTTGGAAGTGGGGAGCTGCCTCGCAGAATCTATGCTGGCTGGCCAATGGCCATGTAGCAGTGCTGAAGCTGTTGTGTCTGTACCAGGTGGTCCCTGCCGGGGGCAGTAGCACCATCTACATCTCCTTCACACCCATGGTCCTCAGCCCTGACATCCTGAACAAGGTGGAGTGTACTGGCTATGCGCTGGGATTCATGAGCTTGGACAGTGAGGTGAGCCCTCCTGGCCTGGGGTGGGGGCCACCACTACCATCTCTCTCCTAGAAGGCACCCAGCTGTTCAGCCCAGGGACCACCAATGATTAGGCCTGGGCTTGGCAGGTGGAAAGGGAGATTCCAGGGAGGAGGTGCCGCCTGCAGGACTTCGCTGTGGGACCCCTGAGACTGGACCTGCATGGCTATGTGAGGCCTGCACAGTGAGTCTGTTGGGCTGCCTGGTCTCCCTCCATCCTTTGTAGGCAGCACCCTCACTGCACAGCACTCAGGGTACTGAGAGCAAGGGCAATAGGAATGAAAGGGAGATGCCAGCAGGTAAGTCCAGGGAAAAGCTGGCCAAGGGCCAGGTGAGTAGAGTAGGGGTGGCCAGGAGACCCCCAGGGGCTTGGCCTGGCCCAGCAGTCCCTGTTGTTGAGCAGGCTAAGTGTGGAGCTGGACTACGGTGGCGGCATGGAATTCCAGCACCAAGCCAGTGACCTCATCCCCGAACAGCCCTATGCTGGGGTGAGTGTGTTGCCTCCCCAGCCCCTCTCATTTACCTGTGTCTCAAATGTCCCTCTGGGTCCTTCTGGACCATGGGCCTGACTGTCTGAGTCCCCTCCTCCAACCTTCCCACCCTACCCCTGGCCATGGGCTTGAGGAGAAGAGAGAAATACATCCCCAACCTCCCCCCACCTCTGTGCTCCCCCAGGTACTGAGTGAACTGGTAACCACCCACCACTTGAAGCTGACCAACACTACAGAAATCCCACACTACTTCCGGCTCCTGGTATCAAAGCCCTTCTCCATATCTCAAGATGGAGCTAACCTCAGAGCTGCTAACCCTGACTGGGAACAGGAGTATGAGGAGGAGACAGCAGAAGAGGGCAAGCTGCTGGTGCTCCAACCACAGGAGAACATACTGGTCAGTGGAGGAGTCAACAGGTGCTTGCTCTCTAAGCACACACTAGCCTGGGCCAGATGGTACCTTCTTGTCACACACACCACCCCTACACACACCATCCTCACACATATGTACTCAGATGCAAATTAATAGGCACTCATATTTAGACATGACTGTATATATGGCCCTGCCATGCCCTGGGAAGCTACAGACACTCACTGTGTTCATTCCCACTACACACACCCTGCAACACAGGCCCTCTGTACAGGTGACCTACCCATGTGTGCTCACACCAAACATATCAGTGTGCATACATATACATTTGTCCCACAAACACACAGATCCCCTCTTCTCTTCATTGTCAGTATCCTGGTAGAGGCTGATGCATTCCTGTATGCACACTCCACTTTATACACAGACTCTCTCCCTTCTTACATGCCCTTAGGATTCTGTTCTGATTCTGGTGAGCTCATGCCACCTTTCCATAAATGTAAGGCACTTGCCAAAGGGGCAAGGAGGTGGCATCTTCTGACCTCTTCTAATCCCATAAGAGGAAGACAGAATCACCATCAATAGCCCAAGGCCTATTCCATGAGGCCAGACATGCTGCCTCCCTCCAGACCTTTCATCAACCCTGGCACCAACCATTCCTCCCACAGCACCCACCACCCCTCTGCTGGGTTCAATAATTTGCTGCAGTGGCCACACAGAACTCACAGATTATGGGGTTTATTAGGAAACCACAGGCTACAATTCAAATTCAGAAACAATGCTTAGTCTCTCAGCTCGCCATCTCTCAGCCGACAGTCTCTCTCCCAGCAGTGCATATCTCTTGGTGACTCTCAGCAATGTGTGTCTCTCAGGAGTATGTTACTCTCAGCAGTACCTTTCTCTCAGCAGCACATCTTTCTCAGCCAGCAGTCAGAGAGACTCCTTCTGGCTCTAGGAGGGCTCCTTTTGAGCCTGACAGAGTGGCCAACTATCCAATCCCAACATCAGAATTCTATACACCTGAGAGAGAGCAGACTTCCCAGAAAATTACTTGGTGTTACACTCAACAAAAATACCCCAGGTGGATAACTTTAACAATCAGGAGCTACTCAGTTGCTCATGGCAAATTCCACCATGGAGTTTACAAAGACATGACTAGAAAAGCCACACTATGTAATTTACTACACTGCAGCACTCCACAATGAATTGCTTGGTATGACCCTTCTAGCCTTCATCCTTGTGACTACCACAGATGACTAGGTGAGACTGCAAATCTGAGGTGCTTGTGGACCACAAAGGGGATGTAAATTAGGTACATGGCACCCTTGTGAGTGTGGAAAGACTATGCAGATAAGATGTATGGAACCCTAAGGTGGGGTTTGGTCAGTTTTGCTATCCCACTAGGCTTAAAATGAGCCATCCTAGAAGAAGGGGAAAATCTTATTACCAAGAAGAAAGAAGAGCCAGGAGTGGAGCCCATTCTTTGGACCCAAGATCTTTGATCCAGGAGACAAGAGCTGTGATACCTGAGATGGTGAGAGACAACAAGAAGTGGCAGAGAAACTGCAGCAAGCTGAGAAAGCAGAACGAAGAAAGGGAATGAGGAAGCTGAGTGCCTTCAGGCAGGAGGCTTACTGGCAGAGTGGGATACCTCTGGGCATTTATCACCAGAACTAAAAGAGCTTTGTAATATTTGTCTAAATAGAGCATTTGGCCTATGGCCAAAGAGATAAGCACAGCTGAGAAGAGGCTGTCCTAAGCGGAAGAACTGTATCCTGAGTCGTTTCTGATCTTCTGAATTGTTCCTTCCCTAGTAAACCTCATAATCATGAGTTTAAAAAAAAAAAAAAAAAAAGTAAGGCACTCCAGGTCCCAAAGTGATTTTCCCTCTTCTGACACAGCATCAGTGATAATAGGATTCTAGATTTTCAGAGTTGAAGAGACCCAGGGAATGCCAGGGCCTCAGTGGGAACCTTTTGCATCCTGGGTTTCTGAGGCATATGGAAGAGGAACAGGTCACAGTATTTGTGGCTAGTTGGGTGAGTGAACAACTGTATCTGCACAGTGCACTCCCTGGGTGTGCATGGCCAGGCCAAGGCTAGTTGGACAGGCCTCACTCACTCTAACTCCTCTACTTGTCAGAGGCCCCTCTTTCTTCCTCTCTTCTGAGAGCTTCCCTCAGGCAGGGCCCTCATCTTGCTATGCAAACTCTTGAGGTATCTTGACCATGTTCTTGCTTCTAAAATGTATGCTTCAGTGTTTATGTGTGGAGTAACTGCTATGGGCTAGGCGCTGTGCTAGACAGTGGAACTGCAGAGATGCTAAGACATGAACTCTTCCCCTCCTCACTATGGAGCCAGACACTTATCTGCAGAAGGCAGGGCACTCTTGTCAAATTTAGCATTTGCTCCGTTTGAAAGGGTAAACTGTTTTTTGGGTAGAAGTTCCAAAGAACAGCCAGAGGCCCCATTCCACCAGAGCTCCCCGTGATAGAGACCACAGGGTTGGTCACCAGATATTTAAAAATCCTTGGGCAGCTCTGGGGGAGCCCAAAGTTTCCCAGAGAAAGGACATCGTCTGATCCTGTGCTGACATGCCCAGGGATCTGGCTCTTGTCCAAAATTTGCTCCTCTCGACCCAAACTCAACCTATTTCCATCTCTCTCTACTCCTTGTCCTGTCCTACATGTATGCCCCTCTTTCAGTAGTGGCATTTCACCTCATCATATACCAGTTCCTTCCACCCCCTTGACCAAGCCAGAACTCTGGCATTCCTTATGCCTCTTTCTGACCAACCACTAAGCTGTGTTGATGCCCCTCCATAAGTCTCTCAATACTTCTTTCTCTCTTTTCTCTTTCTCCCTATACCCGTATCTAGATCTAGGACAGTGATTTCCAAGTCTAGCAACATATCAGTGGCCCTTAGAAAGTGTATTAAAAATGTAAGTTCTGAGGTCCCACATCCAGAGATGTGGAGGTCTTGGCCCAGGAATCTGTATTTTTTAACACATACCTCAGTTGATTCTGAGCTAGTCCCAAGGACCTGAGTCTGAGAACCAGGAGTCCAAACTCCTTCTTCTCTGCCCTAATGACAGCCTTGGCCCTTCCCTGATGTCCTTACACCCTCTTGTGCTCCTGCCGTCCAGTGTCTGCCACAGCAGTGACCTTTGTGAAATGGTGACACCCCTCTGCTGAAAACCCATCAGTGGTTCCTCACTGTCCCCTGGATAAAGACAGAGTCCTTACCTTGGCCAGCCAGCCTTACTGAAGCCCTGGTCATGCTAGGTGGCAAAGACCCATTTGCTTACTTGTCTTTTCCCCTGTATCCAGCCTCTGGGCCCCCCGAGGTCAGGCATGGCCTAGATCCCAACACTAACAGGATGCTGGACACAAAAGAGGTGCTGCATGGGAGACACTATGCCTAGCTGTTTGCTGGGAAGGGCTGGGGCAGTCTAGGCTAAGCTGGGCCAAGCACTAAGCTCTAGATGCTGTTGTGTCCACCTCTGCTCAGGTGAATGTGTCCTTCTCACTATCCTTGGAGCTGCTCTCCTATCAGAAGCTCCCAGCTGACCATATGCTGCCTGGAGTGAAGATTCAGCAGAGTGCAAGTGGAGAAAAAGAGATGGTGTTTACTCAGAACCTACTCCTGGAGTACACCAATCAAACCACTCAGGCGAGTGCCAGTCCTGCCCCACACAGTGTGGAGGGTGGAATCAGGCTGGACCCTGCTCAGGTGGGGTCAGAGAAGGATAAGCCCAGGCAAGGGCCTCAGAAATAAGAGGAGCAGCCCCAGTTTATGCTGCGCAGCCTGCCCTGGAAGAGGGCTTTGCACATGAAGAGGAAGGTCATCTCCTCACGGTCCCTGCAGCAGGTGAAGTCCTGTAGGATGGACAATGAGGGAAGGATCCCTGGAAGATGAGGCATGTGACGACTATGTACTATTCAATCAGGAGAAATAGGAAACATTCTAAGTCAGGCTGAGGGAATGACCTAATGTGTGGGGACAGTGAATAGCAGAGGCAGCTATGAGAGGGACTCATGGGTTTGTGTGGGGTTTCAAACAGGCTTGAGCATCAGAGACCTCATTCTGCACTATAGGCCTATTGGTCACAGGGCTGTGGTGTAGGAGGTTGAGCTGGAGAGGTCAGGGGGAGCCCAGCCCAGAGGTGGAGGTGAGTGTGAAGGATTGGCCTGGGAGATGGACTTGAGATGTCAGAAGAGCTGAATGCTGGGGCTCCAGGGAGGTTTCTCAAGCCTGATGCCTGGACAGCTGCTGGAGCCCAGGAAGTGGGAGATGAGGAGGTTGGGGATGGCAATGCCTGAGGGCAATGCAGGGAGACTATCTTTCGGCCTAGAATAGGTGAGGGCATAGTTGGGGCCTGAGGCAGAGGAAAAAGGTGAGATGACCCAGAGCCTAACGGGAGCACAGGGCTGGGCCTTATAGCCCCCATGGAAGGAGGAGTGAGGGATGGGGAAGGATGGCTATCTATCCAGGACCAGAAACTGAAGGGCTTGATCTCAAGTTCAGGGTGAGGGTGGCAGGGAGGCAGAGGGAACACATGAGTTTCTCCTGTGCAGAATTCTGCCAGCACCTCTGGCTTCTAATGCCAGCACCAGCCCCCTTCTACCCATTGTGGTGCAGCCTGGTGCTTTCCTCAGAAGCTTGGGGGCAGGGGGTAGGAGCCCTATGTCCCAGAGATCTTGGCACAAAGCCCTGCTGAACAGACCAAGCTGCCTGCCACGTTGAAGGACCTGCCTTCACAGGTGGTACCCCTGTGGGCCGTTGTAGCTGTGCCTGAGCTACAGCTCTCCACCAGCTGGTTGGACTTTGGGACTTGCTTTGTGAACCAGACCCAAGTCCAAGAGGTCTACCTGATGAACCTGAGCAGATGCAGGAGTTACTGGACCGTGCTGATGGGTAAGGCCTACCTTCCTCCCTCCTGCTTACTGCTCCCTGCAGGGCTGGCACCAGCTGGGAATTCCTGCAGAGATGGCCAGTTCCCATTCTAAGGAATCCTCAGGGTTTTCCTGCCCTATGAGGCTGGGCAAGACAGGTGTCTACCAGGAGGCAGAGCAAGTCTGGGTGTGGTAAAGGATTCCTGGGGCAGCATATGCCACATCTTCCCTTTCCTCCTCTGCAGGCCAGCAGGAGCCAGCCGAAGGCACTGTGGCCTTCAGGGTTTCCCCAAGCAGTGGGCTACTGGAAGCACGGCCAATCAACGCACCCCCACCCTCTGTCACCCTGCAGGTTATCTTCACTGCCAGGTACAGCCCCTCTCAGCCTTCCTGGCCCTGCCCGTAGGTCTGGAGCCCTTAGTCAGGGGCCTCCTCCTGACCTCAGCACCCACCCTGCTCCCCACAGGAGCTGTGAGCTGTACAAGTCCACGCTGGTAGTGGAAGGTGTGCTTGGCGAGAAGGCCTGCAAGCTGCGGCTCCGGGGCCGAGGCTCTTATGATGAGAAATATGTGACCTTCTGCCAGCTCTGAAGTTCTCCCCAACTCCCCAGCCCCAGACCCCAAGCTTTGGAAATAAACATGGCTCACAGCTAAGGAGCAGTTCTGCTGGGCAGGGGCATAGACTGCAGCCCTGGGAGGGGCTGGTGTCTCAGGCCCCTGTAGGCTCTGAGCAATTCCTTGCGAGGAGGAGCCCCATTCCAGTGCAAAATAATCAAGTTGAGAATTAAAGTGTCATGGCAGGTAATAATTGCTACTCAGATTAAGCAGAGGACCAGCATGGCAGGACTGACCTTTAGGAAAAAACACAGCCACCAAGATAAGATAACACACATTTACTATGTTCACTGTACTTCTTCTTATCTACAGGCCACCTTTCCCTAGGAATTACCAGGTGGCCCTGCAGTCTGGATGACCCAGGCCAACTTGGTCTGGCTCAGTCAGAGGGGACAACAGGGGCAGCCCTGCACTCCACTCACTCTTTTATTGTATCAACAGTGTTCATAATGCCAAATTTGTGGAAGGGTTTGATTTACCCACTACTGCCACCACCACCAGTGCTAAATTTTCCCATGTGACTTCATTTGTAGTGTTGATGATCTCCTGCTGCCAGAGCAGGGCTGTCTGGATAGCGCCCCTAGCCCGCCAGCTTCCTGGGGCCTCACTCAGTTCCCAGGATATTCAAAGACAGCAGCAGCTCCCATTCCGGTGCCAATGCACATGGATACCACCCCATATGCCCTGTGGAAGCAAAATCATGTTGGTTGGGCAAAGGCTTTAAAGGGCAGAGGCTCAACCACAAAGCCATCCCCAGACCTGACTTCACTGAAGCTCCTAAGAAAACCAGGCTGGGCTGGATAGACCAAGGCCCCCAAGGACAGATGATGCAAAACCTCCCAGACCAGACCTACGGGCATGCAGTATTCTGCCTGTGTGCCTACATAGGTACACAGGGTGGCAGATGACTGTTGCAGACAGGATTCTCTTCAAAGGTAGCTCCCAGGGAATACAGGGATCATGCCTCTACATCCTCAGATGAATTACAACCACCCCTTCCTCGGCTGCCCTAGCTTGGAATATTAAGACCCCCTCCCAAGAGAGGCCAGCCTTACCTCTTCCCACGGCGCTTCAGTTCATTGAGCAGTGTGATGACCTGTCGTGCCCCAGTGCAGCCCAATGGGTGGCCCAAGGCCACTGCACCCCCCAGGGGGTTCACCTTCTCCAGGGGGAGTTTTAGCTTCTCCACGCAGTAGACAGCCTAGAAGGAGGCAAAGCTTCAGCTATAGCCCTCCTACCCGCTGGCACTACTTACCCACTGGTTCTAACTAAGCTGCCTAGGGTCCAGGCAGTGGTGAGAAACAATGGCTCACCTGGCTTGCAAAAGCCTCATTGATCTCAAAGATGTCCACATCATTCACTGTCAGCCCTGCAGGCAAGAGGATAAAGCCTGAGTTGACCCAGTGACACTTTGCAGGACTCTCCCTGGGGCTCACCCCACCCATGAGCCTGTAGGCTGCCTGGTGTGTCTGTTCCAGAAGGGCAAGATGTGGGATCATCAAATACTTGGATATGGGGTGCTGGCCTGTCCCACCTTCACCCTGCAGCACCCACAGGGTCACTCGGCACCTGTCCCCCACCACCTCCAGCAATAGCATGCAGGAACAGGAGTAGGTTTTGGATCTAGGGTATGAAGGAGTCATCTTACCCGCTTTCTTCAAAGCTACAGGGATGGCATAGGCAGGTCCAATGCCCATGATGTCAGGTGGGACCCCAACCACTGCATAGGACCTCAGGACTCCAAGGATAGGAAGGCCCAAATCTTCTGCCTTGGACCTCCGGGCCAGCAAGATGGCGGCTGCCCCATCACTCACCTGGCTAGAGTTTCCTAGGGATAAACCACAGGGGTAAAGCCTCGGGGCAAGGCTGAGGAGGTCTGGCCCTCTCACATCCACCTTGGAAAGAGGCCTGGTCTGCTCTAGCCTCCCAGAGTAGAACACCCAACATGGCCATGGTCCCTTCCTCATCCCCAACCCCAGCCCAGTCTCACCAGCTGTAGTAGAGCCGCCCTCCTTGAAGGCAGGCTTCAGTTTGGCCAAGCCTTCCATGGTGGTGTTGGTGCGGATGCCCTCATCTTGGGCCACAGTGATGCTCCTCTCAGTGCCCTTGCCATCATAGATTGTGGTGGTCACGGGCACAATCTCTGCCTGGAAGCAGCCCTTGCTCTGGGCTCTGGCTGCCCTGCCAGTAACACAGCCAGCCAGTCATAGGCTCCCAAGGGTGAGAAGAATGCCCCAAAGCCTTTCAGGCCTTCATTATCAGCCCCAGATTACCAGATTTTGGCCAATCCCCACCACCAAGGAGATGAGGGGATCTGGAGGTGATGGCTCCTCTGAGCCCTTCACTCAAGAGGCAGTCAGACAAAGCCTGCTCGTGTCTTTAGGCTAAAAGTGAGGATGGAGCCTCAATCCTCATGCTAGGTTCTATCAACTTTTCTGTTGAGGCTGGCTCTGCCTTGCCAACCTCAACCTGCCCCCACCCAGAGGCCTGAGCCCCTGGAGCTGCTCTGATATTATCCCCAGCCTCAGTCTCAGGATACTACCCAGCTCAGGCACAGTTCAGAGGCTAAGATGCTGGGCTCCCTACTATTGCCATAAAGGGCAGAGGCTCAACCACTACACTACACTCCAGAGAAGCCTGTGGCTACCATGCCTGAGGCAAGGAAGAGTCCTAGCCTTCATTGTTGTTGTTATGTGCCGTTGAGTCGCCCAACTCATAGCAACCCCTCCTTGGGTTTCCGAGGCAGTATCACTAAGGAAGTAGATTGCCCAACCTTCCTTCCGAGGAGTGGCTGGTGGGTTTGAACTGCCAGCCTTCTGGTTAGCAGTCAAGTGCCTTAGGCACTATGCTACCAGAGCTCCTTAGCCTTCATTATGTCCCTAGTAATAGGGAAACTGAGGCCCAGGTAGTGAGAAGATACTTAAGAGAAACAGACAGTAACAGGACATGAAAGTGCTATCAACTCACAATGGCCCTGGCCCCTTTCCCCCTCTCCTTCCCAAGAGGCACAAGCCTTGGAAACCACTCACTGCTCAGTGTACCCTCAGGACAGCTCCACCTCAGGCCAATTAGGACAGCCTCAAAGCCTCACTCTTCAGCCCTTTAAATGGCCAGTCCAAGCAGTGCTTACTTCTGCTGGGAAGCCAGTGCAAAGGTATCCTGCTTCTCTCGGGAAATGCCAAAACGCTCAGCCACATTCTCTGAAGTTATCCTAGAATACAAACAGCAAATAGTGTGGGCCCTGGCCTGGTAGTTAGGGGGACCAGCAGGGACTAGGCCGGGCCGCACAGAGATGTGCTTAGAACTCTAGGCCTCTGGGCTGAAGGCAGGAGGACCAGTCCATGCACAGGGGCAGTGGTAATGACTGGGAGGTGGCAGACCATGCCACAAGGCTGGGTATAGGGGCAGACTGGGAGTTAGCACTGCTCAGAGAGAACAGCCTGCATGAGGGGAAGGGTGTGTCCAAAAAAGGGGGTTTATTTCCTGGGTGAGCTGCTTGGGCACAGGAGGGGATGAGTGAGGGTACTAGCAGGCTACTCTCAGGCAGCTTCTCCTATGCCTCAAGGAAAACTGCTTTAATGTAGGGAGACGACGACCCCTAAGTTCCCTCTAGAAAGGCTTTCCACTCGCCTTGGCTGGAACCTACTCTCATCCTGGGAACCCAGAGCCAGGGCAAGGCCTGGACTCTACAGGCTTCCCTCAGAGATAGGGAGGCAGCCAAGGCAGTGCCCCTCTCTGAGCCTCAAATCTCTTCATATGTCCAGAGTCTAGGAGTTCCTACCCTGAGATCCTGAGAATAGCCCAGGAAATCAGTAGCACTGGCTGCAGTGCTCAGGTGCTGTGGCAATGCAATACAGTTTTGACGTCACATCAACAGGGGCCAAGTTTCCTCACCAGCATTTCCAGTAAGCAAAAGTTCCCCACTTCCTTCCCAATTTTCTAGGCCTTCAAGAATTTGGGGTACATATGCCATTATCTCTCCTATGACTGAGCCCCTCAGTGTGGAAGTGACAGGCTGGGTCATGTTTGGAAGTCCAGAGGCACAGAGAGGACCCAGACTCAGAGGCTTCAGGAAAGGGAAGCATCAAGTTCCCATCCCAGAGTCCCTGCAGAGCAGACCAAGCCCCAAAGCAGGAAGCCAGGGCTTGGCACTGCCAGCCAGACATGATCAAGAATTCCTCAGCCCCTGCTCCAGGCAGGGAGCTAAGAGAGCAGCACACCATACAATGGGATGGTACTTACCCCATAGGAATCAGGCAGTCTCTGGCCTTCTCCTTCTCCACCAAGCGTGAAGTAATATTTCCAGGGTTTCCTCTGTCAGCCAGGGACATGGACTCCACACTGAGGAGGGAGAGGAGGTTAAGCAGGGTTCCCCCAGGGATAGCTGTGTATCTGCCAAGTGCTGGGAAATAACCAGGAAGCCCACAGAAATCCAGTGGGCCATCTGGGAGCCACTAGTAAAGAACCTGGCCAGCAAGACAGATCAGGGGATGAATGGCTACTGAGTCCTATCTCTACCTCCCCCAGCCCCCTAGGACAAGCACTGAAGTCCACACTCCCTGAGAGCAGGGTCATGCTTCCCTATCATCACTTCTGCAACCACTCAGCAGTTCCCAAGGAAAAGCCGCCTGGTATCCTCCAGCAGAAATCCAAAAGCCCAGATCCTCAGGGACCACAGGGGACGAGATAGGTATTTAAAGAGTAACTACAAAGCTACTGATCAAAGAACAGCCTGACCTGCTTAAGTAAAAAGGTGCTAGAAGCTGAGAGGAAGGTGAGATTTAAGTTCAGTGTGGTCAAAAGGGCTTCAAGGAGGTCAGGGACAAAGCTTCAAATGATGAAAAAACCTGGACTGAATGCTTTTCATATGTCAGCAATATCTTAAAACTCTTCATGAATTAGAAAGCTTCAGTGTTTATCACATGATACTTGCCTCATAAATGTTAGCTATTGTTACTCCACTTAATCTTCTCAACAACTTCAACAGAGCTGAGGCAGGTGTCCCTGTTTTATAGACAGGGACACTGAGGCCCACAGAGGCTGAGCAGCTTATCCACGGTCACCCAGCCAGTACCCAAATTTAGGAAGTCTGGCCCCAGATCCCAACCTAACTAGGATGCCTGGGGCTATACTGCTGTAGAGTCAAAGTCTATGATGAACAGTCAGCCTGTGACGTGGGTGTCAGTCCTGGCCTAGACTCTTAATATCCTAGTGTCTCAGTTGATTTGGGGACCCTGACTTCTTTTAAAAAGACAAAGGCTTCAATCCTTCTCCTCATGTTACTCACACCCTCCAGTAAAATTGAGGGACCTGAGAGAAATCAAAGGGCAGAGTGAGCAATGGCCCTTGCCAGGCCACAGTTCCCATAGGGTAATCTCAGCTTTATTTACAGCTACAGACATAAAAGCAGTTAAACCCACTTCCAGCCAGCACGGCCCTAAAACATGGGCCAACAATGCTTCTAATCAAGAAACTCTATGAAGAGGAACTCTGCAGCACAAGGAACACACCAAAACCCTGGGCCGCTCACATCCCCATACCAGAGGTCCACTGAAGTCTGGACTCCAGTTCTCTGCCTCTCTGGGGACACTCTCAGTACAACCCCCGCAGCTTCATATACTGTACCAAGGATGGAGACACAACCTGGGTACAGGTAACAGTAACCTAACCAACAAAGATCTGGATATGTCCCTCAGAACCCAGTAGGCAGCTAGAAGTTTCCACCTTGGTACCACATCAGAGGCTAAAGATACAGACAGCCTAGTAAAATGAATAAACTAATGATACAGTAGGCAGCTGCCCCTGGCTTTCACTCACTGCCATTAGTGACTACCGTGAGGAGTCCGACTCATAGTGACCCCTCCTCAGGTTTCCGAGGTGGTATCACTATGGAAGTAGATTGCTCAGTCTTCCTTCCGAGTAGTGGTTTGTGGGTTTGAACTGCCAGTCTTCTGGTTAGCAGTCAGGTGCCTTAGCACTATGCCACCAGAGCTCTACTGGCTTTAGGGAACCAAATTTGCAACTTCTCTTTTAGTAGTATCATGAATCAGCAAAGGCCACAGAAGGAAACCCAAGTGCTATCTTTTCTCAAAACACTTGCCCACATTTTCCAGCCTGACAGATTTTCAAGAAGGAAGCATTTATTTAAAGGCCAATTTCCTTTCCCCACTAGTGCTGAGAGCAGCTGGAACCATTCTAAGCTACATTTGTAGAAACTGATTTCCAGCCAACTCCCTAAAGGTGTGAGGGAAAAATCTTGAAATCATGGCTTCTGAGAACTCAGACCAAACCTAAAACCAAACCCACTGCCATTAAGCTGATTCCAACTCACAGCAACCTTACAAGCCAGAGCAGAACTGCCCCCATAGGGTTCTCAAAGCCGTCAATCTTTATGGAAACAGACTGCTTCATTTTTTGCCCACAGAGCAGCTGGTGGGTTTGAACCACTAACTTTTCAATTCACATCTGAGCACTTTAACCGCTGTACCACCAAGGCTCCATAAAGAACTCAAGATATGAAAATTAGTTTTACTGTCACAAGCTGGTTAATAAGCTCTGGCAGAAAGAAATTCTTACCCACAGGCCATGCCAATGTCATAAGACCCATTTCTGATGCCACCTGCAACAAAAGCATTTTATAAACATCCTTTGCCAGAGTCCATCAGTTCTGGGAGCAGCAGAGCCTCTTCCCCACCTGTTCTCCAGGGTAGGGCTCAGCCTCCACCACAGCCTCAGAGGTGGAAGACTAAGGAGTGTCCAGAAAAGGCTGGGGGTAGCAATATGGGGTTCTTCTTCTGTGATTAGAGTCCTCTCAGAAATCTTATTGCTCACCCAGCCGAGAGAGACTTTGCTGACCCAGACTCAGGGGGCCAGGACCAAGGATAGGCTGTGCAGTGGGCACCCACCCAACCACAACTTACCAGCTATGTTGGCCACTGCCTGCAGCCCGGACGAACACTGTCTATTGACAGTGGACAAAGGCACAGTCTCTGGGATGTCACTGAAAACAAAAGGGGAGACTGCAGAGTGAGTCAGCCCCCTTGCCCCTGCCAGGCTCTCATGCTCCTGGCCAATACAACTGCCCCCATCAGGAGGTACAAAGACCAGGAACGAGCCCAGCAGCCCTACCCCACTCCAGGCTGGATCTATAGAGTGGGAAGTGGGCAGCGACTGGGCAGATCCCATCTCTGCAGGCACTTACTCCTCAGGGTCCAGAAGCACATTCCGTCCTGTGATTCGACTCAAAGGCCAAGCACAGCTCAAAGGCCAGGAAGGGTGTCTGGGCCCTAGGGGTCTTTTTTTCCCTTCCTTTAGAGATTCAAGAATAAAAATTATACATTTCTGTTTTCCCCAAAGTACAGAGAAAAGGGCCTGTTGCTGGGACAGAGCAAAAGATATGTCTAAAGCTATGAGACCAGAAATCATCCCCACTCTTCAGCTTTATATGGCTAAAGTAACCATATGGCTAAAGAGTTATGTCCCAATTCTCTCTGGAAAGCCTGTTTCCACCTCAATGAAAAACTCTGATGGGCACCATCTGTTCTAACATCCCTTAGCCTGGTGGGCCCCCCAGCCTCTCACACTGGTCTCAGCCCTGGGAGCTCCCTGGGGTTGCACCTCTCCCATGTACTACTGCTGCCTTGGCCAATAGTACAAAGTCCTGGAGAGCTAGGGAAATCCAGATGCCAGGCCCCTCCCTAAACCCTCGGATTCAGAACCTCACGGAGTGAAAGAACCTGGTGATTTTGCTGTGCAGCCACAGAGCTAGTGCCCTGGCCAGGCGCTGTAGAGTGCCCTCATATGGGTATAGCTTCCTGGGCCTCTGCAGCATATTTAACCCATCTAAAGTCACCTAACTCCCTACCATAACCTAGTTACATACTCCACCCAATCCACTAAATGTTCACTATAGCTCCCACCCCAAAACAGAAGGGAAAAAAAAAAGGAGCTCTGCTGGTGTAGTACCTAAGGCATCTGCCTGCTGACCAGAAGGCTGGCAGCCCAGGTATGCTAAAATACGGTACTGTCCCTGCCCTAATGGAAGCACGCCCAACATAAAGAAAATGAACCAACTAGTAGAGTCTGAAATAAGAATGCAAGACAGTAAGGAAGCATGTGGTTAGTTTTTAGAGCGGAAGACACTCTCATCTGAACCTTGGGGGCTCAGGGATGTCATGCCAAATGGTGAGACTGTGTTTGGGAAGGGGTTTACTAAAGGCAGAGAGGAAAGTGGAAACACTTGGTGGGGGTGAGGAGGTGGAATGATCAGAGTAGGGATGACAGTAAGCAGACAGACTGGCTAAAAAGTCAGTCTGGAGATAGAACATGAGAGGCCTTGAATTCCAGGCTAAGCAGTCTTAATCTTCCACAGTTTTAGAGGGTTCTTTGGTTGGTTTTTCTGTTCCTTCACTAACCAGTGTTCTTCCCCATGAAGGTGGAAGTAGAAGGCCAAGTAGTTCTTAGATCTACACATGAAAATAACTTAAGTCTCCACCCTCACCCTCAGCCCAGACAACTCCTTTTATTTTTTTTTTCAATTTTTAAAATGAATTTTATTGAAATATAATTTATGTACAGTGAAATACACAAAACTAAAGTGGCATGGGTCAATGCTTTTTCAGTGGTCCATCCCCTCCTTCCCACCCCTAGCAAACAAAAAAGAAAGTTTCCCCTCCCTATATAAACCTTTCCTTGACCCTCCACAACAATGAATTAATACTATATTTGTCCTTCTGTGATTGACTTACGTCACTCAGCATAATGTCCTCCAAGTTCATCCATATTATGTGGTGTTTTGCAGACTCTACATTATTCTTTAGCACTGCACAGCATTCCGTTATGTGTATGTACCATAGTTTGATCATTCATGTGAAGGTTTATAATTTTTCTTTGAGATTACCCTGTCATTTTATAGTTTTCTTCCCAAGTTTAGAACAGTCCATTCTATCTTGTAGTTGTCTTGACTTTCCTACTATCTAGAAGTTCCGTAATGACAGTTTTTTCCCTCTTTTTGGTTTGTAGTTGTTCTTATTTGTCAATTGATGTCTCTGGTTCCCTGTTTACAATCTTGTAGGCTTCTTTACTTTGGGTATTTCTATAGCTGGGTTGTTTTGTGGGTTATATCATCATGTGTGTTAATGGTCAGCTGTTGGCTGTTGTTGCTTCTCTGTCCAAATCCCTTTAGCATCTCTTGTAAGGTTGGTCTGGTTTTAACAAATTCCCTTAATTTCTCCTTACCTGGAAATGTCCTAATTTCACCATCATATTTGGGGGACAATTTTGCTAGGTACATAATTCTTGGTTAGAAATTTTTCTCTTTCGGGGTTTTACATATACCATCCCATTTTCTTCTCACCTGCATGGTTTCTGCCAAGAAATCCGAGCTTAGTCTTATTGGTTGCCCCTTATAGGTAACTTTTCATTTTTCCCATGCTGCTCTCATGATTCTTTCTTTGTCTTTGGTTTTGGTGAGTTTGATGATGATAGGTCTTGGTGATTTTCTTTTGGGGTTCATTGGACTTCCTGAAAGGATATAGTCTCATCTTTCATCATACTAGGAAAATTCTCTTCCAACAAATTTTCAACAATTTTCTCTGTGGTTTTCTTTGTCTCTTCCTGTTCTGGAATTCTGATTACACGTAGATTATTCCTTTTAATGGTATCCCACATGAACCTTAGGCTTTCTTCATTTTGTTTTGATCTTTTTTCTGATTGATCCCTTTCCAAAGAAGTATTCAGGTATTTGCCTTCAGTCCCCCTAATTCTGTCTTCCATTGATTCAGTTCTGCTTCTTTGCCCAGTCAATATCTAATCTATTTCTGAAAATTTAGTATTAATCTTCTAGATTTCTGTGTGTAGATTTTTCATTCATTTTGTCAATTTGTTCTTATATTGTCTTTCAAAATTGTTCTAGGGTTTTCTCTGTGCTTTCCTTGATCCATCTCTCAATTTGTTGAAGATACCTAAATGTAATTCTTTTGAATTCCTTATCAGGGAGTTCCAGTGCTGCGTCTTCCTCAGGGATGTGTTGTGGGTCTGTATCCTGGTCCCTTGTTTCTCCTGCTTTATTTTGCTTCTTTGTGTGGACTGTGATGCTCTGTTGTCATCGAGGCATTGTGACGTTTTTGTGTTTATATTTAATTGGTGATTGTATGTTAGAGTGACTTGCCCACGATTTTGTTCTGTCTGTATGTTATCTACGCAAGCAGGGTACTATGCTCCTCTATTTGCTAGCTGACAGCACTTATACACTCACCACCTGTCTCTTTTCCTGTTGTCAGCCTCTCATATGTCCCTGCTGACATTGGCAAACAGAGCCTATTCTTAGGTCCCTAGAATCTGAATGAGAATGCTATCACTTTAAAAAATAAAATGGTTGCCACTTGTAAAGATTCAAAATGGCTGCACCCTCGATCACTTTAAATATCCAAAATGGCCACCACTTGTAAACATTCAAAATGGCTGCACCCTTGGTCACTTTAAATATCTAAAATGGCCACTGCTTGTAAACATTCAAAATGGCTGCACCCTTGGTCACTTTAAATATCCAAAATGGCTGCCATGTTTAAACAATCAAAAGGGCTATGCCCTCCAGACAATGGAAAGTCAACAGCTCAGGTTGTCTCCCCTCTTGCTGTTTCCCTTCCTAGTCATAGGCCACCAGTGCAGTCGTCCCCGCAGCCCTTGGTGACCAGGGTTGGTCGTTAGGTCAATTCTCAGGTCCCAACACCACTTGCAAATATTCAGGCTGTTGGTCCTGTCAGAGTAGCTGATAGTTCACAGCTCTGGCCATCTCTGTACTCACTGTTTTCATTCTGGTTTTTCCACTAGTTGGTGCTTAATCCACTTTTGTATAATTCCTTTCAAAGTTCAGGGTTCCAGGAATGTCTTCCTGGAAGATTGGTTTTTCTTTTCTTTGCTGAAGAGGGTCTGTATTGCTTGTCTGCTTATTCCTCCATCTTACCAGAAGTCTCCCCTGCCTATCAAGACTTTGTCTTAGTGGACTATAGCAAGAGAGTCTCCTGCTGGCCTTGAAGGAGTAAGCTACCATGTTATGAGAGGGCCATGTGACAAGGAGCTGCCCTTGGCTGACAGCAAGAAAATAGGAACCTCAGCCATACAAGTAATAGAATTCTGCTAATAGCCACATTAACTTGGAAGAGGACCCCAAACTCTAGAAAGGAATACATCCTGCTGACATCTAGACTGCAGCCTGCAATCCTGGGTCCTGACATCAGGACCTAGTTCCAGACTACTGCTTTCAAACAGCAAAGTTAACAGGACCCTTTCTAGTCTGCCCTCTCCCCTGGGTGTTCTGCCCTGTCCCCAGGTCCCTGCTATAGGCATGTGCCTGGAGATCCCAGCTTGTGCAATTAGCAAAAAACAAAGTCACTCTTCAGTGTGCAGACCTGGCTACTGGTTATCTACCTGACAAAAGAGAGCAGAGTTCATTTACAAAAAGCAAAATAAGCTGACTGTGGCTAAACATCAGGGCAACAGTAGCTTTTGCTACAGTCCCAAAGGACCTGTGTACCCTGTCTCAGTGACACACCCTTCCTTTAATGTAGGGAAAAGGTTGTGTCCACAAGAGTGAGGTACCAAAGACCCTGGGTGCCTAAGGTTAGTGTCCAGTTTGATCCTCCCCCATTCACAGGCTGAGGTCCCTAGAGTTGAGACACACTCAAGAGTCAAAACAGGCAGCCTAGAGCTACAACTAGAAAGGTTTTACCTCAGAAACTGAGCGATTCGAGCCATGACTGCCCCGGCCCCTGGCTGAAGCACATTTCCTGTGGACAACAAATCTTTGTTCAGTGACAGGCAGTGTTCTGAGCACTAAATTACTGCTGTGAATACCAAAGAATGACCAGTTCAGATCTTTCTTCAGGAACTTGAGGGCTGATCCTGGCCAGAGTCACTCACCCACCCACCCTGTTTCTCCAAATCACAGCCACTAGACAAGTTACTTATCTTTAAAGGTGACATGCAAAACTTTAAGGAAAGAATGCAAAGCTTGAAATGTAACAGATCTGGTCGTGGCAGATAAATGAGTTTGTGAAAAAACACATCTCTAAGCCCCACTGTCACTCCTGTGACAGTGATTCCCCTTAGGGGTGACACTTGTTTGACAGGACTCTACCTACACATTATGTTGCTATATTTCGATGCCAGAGGTGAGAAAGGGGGGTTGGACAGAAGATCAAAAGGCCCTGGGTTCAGGTCCTAGCTCTGTTGCAAATTTCCTGGGTCTCAGTTTCCCCATCTGTAAATGAGAGGTTGGACTAGATAGTTTTTGACACTTCCTATCTGTGATGTCAGGGTGGGTAGATAACTCTGGTCTCCTGCCTCCAACAGGTGTCCTCACAACTTTGTGCCAAGTGAACGTCTGTCATTTGGATCCCTGCTTTATAGCATCTTTTAACAGACGAGGAGTCTCGATGGGAGTGGAATCTGGCCCTAAATAAGCGATTAAATTATACTACATACAATACATCCTTCGACGTTCTCCTCAGTGAAAACACGGGGTGGGGGATATGTATTAGAAGGGCTTTGGGAATGGGAAGACCAAGCGGGACAAGCCCAAGGTCAGGATGATGCGCTCACCCACGCAGATGTCCCCCAGCTCTGCCGGGCTCAGCCTGACGTCTTGGAGAACAGCGGTCATGACAGCCGAGAGCAGCTCATCGGGGGTAGTGTCCTGCAGCGAGAAGCGCGGCCGCAGTAACCCCCGGCAGACGAGTGTACCTGGCCACCAGGGTCCCCCTTTCCAGCCCCCACCCCACAGAAGCAGAGCAGCCACTGCTCGGGTGCGGAGCCGCCTCGAGCGCCGCAGGGAACCGAGTAAAAGGGCCAGACCCCACCCTGCCCCGGCTGCCTCCTCACACCTGGCACCCGGATCGAGGGCTCGCACCTTGAAGCCGCCGCGGCCGCCTCGGCCGATGGCGGTGCGCCGCCCGTGCACCACCACTATGTCCGCGGCCGAGGCCTGAGAGGCGCCGCTCAAGCACGGCGCAGCCTGCGGAGCAGACAGTGAATCCGAATCAGGCCGGCCCTTCAGGTGACCCAGCACCACCTGCAGCCTCTGCATTGCGCCGCTCGGTCCCGCGGATCAGGTACAGCGTACCGCACGCAACGTAGGAACTAACAGACTATGCGCTGCGCAGGCGCAAAACTACACCCAGGCGCCTGAGCCCAGCCTACAGCCCCGCCCCCCAGGCGCAACCTTTCCTTCCACAGTCCCGCCCATCTCCTGCCATAGCCAACCAGAGGCTACTCCACCTCCAACCCAGCTATCTAAAAAAGAGCTCACAGCCTTAAAACAGATATTTTCACTCAAAGTCCCGTCCAATGTAATCTAGCACTGCCAATCAAAAGGTGGCCCCTCCTGAAGCTCCGCCCTTATAGGCAGACCGGAAACCTTTCCACTTGAAGCCCTGACTACTAACAAATGGGGGAAGCAACGCATCCCAATTACTGCTGTGGAGTCGGATCCGACTCAGCGACCCCTATGGGTTTCTGAGGCAGTATCACTACGGAAGTAGATTGCCCAACCTGAGGAGGCACCTCAAAAGCCTTTTTAGTCTCTTGAAACACCCCGGGCCACTACTAAAAAGGCAACCCTTTTCCCAAAAGCCTCACCCACTGCCTACCATTGCCAAACAGTAGGCGGGATAGCCATCGGCCAGCGGCTCCCCGCGCCGCCCCCACTACTCACTTGGAATGTAGGAGGACGCCAGGACTCTAATTCCTCTTCCCCTTTCCACATAGGCTTTGCAGTCTCCCGGGTCCCAGCACCCGCAGTGGAGGACCGAAATAATTCTTGGGCACCAGGCCCAGAGCCATCCACCAAAGTAGTCGGGCTTGCGTGGGAAATGTTTCAAGAAAACTGAAGGACAAATATTGTATTAGTCCGTTATTGTAAAAGTTAAGGAAAGGTTTATGTATTGAAGGAAATTTTTTTTGTTGGTTACCAGGGATGGGAGGGGAGGGGAGGGAATGCTGTTAGATAGATAGAGATAAATATTGATTTGGGTGAAGAGAAGGGCAATGTACCAAATGTGAGTGACCAATATGGCACCATTGAGGATGAGAAAGACATAGGTACATGGGAAGTACAGACAACAAATATGAACCCTTTTGCATATACAGTACTGAGTTGTCAGTGAAGGCAAACATGGGTATATGGATGGATAGATAGGTGGACAGGCTAAACGATTAGGTATGTCTATGAAATGGGGAGTATATCCAAGATCATATATAGGGTTGGCAGACAATGGTCCTATAAGTTTATGTGAATAATCAGAATTCCCAGGTGTGTAGTAGAGCTGACAAGGGGAAAGTTTGTGGTCACTGCTTGGTCACAGCCAGCTACCCAGAGGGACAGAGTAGTTGAACCTGCGGGCTTGGGACCATAGTCGCAGGGGACATCAAGCTCAACTGGCATAACATACTATACAAAGCATTGTTCCACCTCCTACTTTGGCGAGTAGTGACTGGGATCTTAAAAGCTTGCAAGCTGCCATCTAGATGCAACAATGGGTCTCTTCTCATCAAGAGCAAAGAAGAAAGAAGAAAATGAAAATTAATGGAAACAATTAGTCTTAGCAACTGGTACACCATCCGATCTGCAAGCTACACAACTATGAGACCAGAAGAACTAGATGGTGCCCGACTACCACTGTCATCCGCTTGGAAGGGATGTAGGAGATCCTGGATAGAGAGGGAGAGCAATGTGGAACAAAACTCAAAATCATTTGGAGGAAAAAAAAAAGGTGGGGACCAGGTTTGCTGGTCCAATAGAGCCTGGTGGAACCACTGAGACTATGGCCCCTAGCTACCCTTCAGGTCTGGAATTGAACCCACACCTGTGGTTTCCAGCCATACAAAGTACAGACATGTGAGTTAAACATTTACCTCAAGTAGACACACGCCCTGGAGAGAACAATCATGGGAGAAGGAAGGGCTGCTTATGCACAGGGAGACAGCTCAGGGGGCAGGAGTGCATGGAGGAATGGACACTAGGAAGAGGTAACTATGGGGAGGAAGTGGGAGGGGAGCTGTTGCATTGTGGTAAACTGTAGTCAATGACATGAGACAAAGTGTGTGTGAACTGCTGCATGGAGAATGAATTTGCTCTGTAAATCTTCACCCAAATCACAATTGAAAAAAAAAAAAAAACTGAGGGAATTTGGGATTCCGGGAAGAAAGGGGAGGGAGGGAAGGGAAATACATTGTATAAGGTGCTGAGGTGTGACAAGCTCCCCAAGTGGAGAGGGAGCATCACACACATATTACCAACTTTACACTCACTTGGAATGAGTGGATTAGTGCTAGGGCAGAGCAGAACCCTGTATCCCAAAAGCCTGCAACACGTCTGACACTTAGAAGGTGATCAATAAATCTCTGTTGAATGAATGAAATAACCAGGGCTCCCCAGCTCAGAGCTGTGCATCCCTTCACCTTAAAGGACAAGGCAAGGTGCCTCTTGACTCCCAATGGCAGGGCCATGTGCTTCCCTGAGACCCGGGAGAGCAGTACTGCGTTCAACCCAGACACCAAAGGCTAGGACGCTCAGTGATCCCTTCTCACAGGGAGAGCCAACTCCTGCCTCGGGCTCCAAAGGGGTCTCACAGCAACCTCTGCGAACACAACTGCCCCCTCCCCACAGTCCTACTATCAGGAATGTGAATTTCCCAGTGACTGGGGAGAGCAGAGCCGGTGCCCTGCCTCAGCGATCCAATACGAACCCCTCAGAATGTAGTCACATCAGACGCCAAGAACAAGGCCCCGGTTCCCTACAATCCCCGAAGGACGGTGGTTCTCCCCAGCACCTCGAGGGCAGAGTTGTAATTCTCAGATCCTTCTCAGATCCCCAAGGGCAGGTTCCCGGTTTCCACTTGCGCACTACCACCACCCCTGACCCTGCGCGCGGAGGTGGAGCACCCCCACCTCCGCACAACTGCTTAGGGCTCCATTTGGTGTGGCGGGCGGCGCTTCTCGGAAAGCAAAACTGCGGGGCGGAGCGGGGCGGAGCAGCCGGGAAGGAGGAAGCGCTGGCCCACGGTGAGACCCAGCAGCGCGGAGGTTCCAGGGCTCCCCGCCATGGCTGCGGGAGGGCCTGTCTCGGGGTCTGCGCCCTTCGCCCCCTCCGCGTCCTCGGTGCCGCTGGCTGCGCTCAACATGCGAGTGCGGCGCCGCCTGTCGCTGTTCCTGAACGTGCAGTCGGTGGTGGCGGCCGACTGGACCGCGCTGGCGGAGGAGCTGGGCTTCGAGTACCTGGAGATTCGGAACCTGGAGGCATATCCTAACCCCACCGGCCGCCTGCTGGACGCCTGGCAGGGCCGCCCCGACGCCTCCGTGAGTCGCCTGCTGGAGCTGCTTGCCAAGCTTGGCCGCCAAGATGTCCTGGAAGATCTGGGGCCCAGCATCGGTGAGGACGCCCCCTTCTTGTTTTCGCGACCGGGAGATAAAGGGTTGCCTTTCACGGCCTCAGCATTCAGCCCCACCCGAAGAGGCCCTGATTTCCTAACTGGGAGGTTTGGGGCAGCCCGGGAAGAGGAACTGTGCGGAGCCAGTTCTCTTTTTCAATATCCAAGACATGATGAAGACTGGAGAAAGGGGGTGAAGGGCAGGAGAAGCGGAAAAAAAAAACGAAACAAAACTCACTGCCGTCGAGTCGGATCCGACTCATAGTGACCCCTCCATGGGTTTCCGAGGCAGTAGTCTCTACAGAAGTAGATTGCCCAACCGTCCTTCCCAGGAGTGGCTGGTGGGTTTGAACTGCCAGCCTTCTGGGTAGCAGTCAAATGCATTAGGCACTATGCCACCAGACCTCCCAGAGGGGAGGAGAAGGGAAGGAAATAGCTTAGGCAAAGGCCTTTAGGAAAGGCCAGAAGTCAGAATCAGGGAATCTAGGAAGGTTTTGGTAGTGCAATAGGGCAGGTGAGGACAGCAGATTGTCTTGGAAACCTCAGATCCCAGGGAAATGGCCCCACTTCCTGCCACTCATGATTAAATAAGGATGCAGAGCCCACGGGCAGGCATACCATGCTCTTTAACGGTTACCACCCTCACCAAACTGTAACCACTGGGTTTCCTGGCCCTCTGATACACCTAGCCCCATGCTTACATCCATTCGCATCCTGGAATGAGTAGGCCTTGACCTTGCTGGCTTTAGCCAGGACACTAAAGACATCCCTTTGGGAAGGTCAGAGCCAGATGGGGGCTCAGCTCCTAAGAGCTGTAGAGCTGAGAATGGTGCCAGTGGGCTGGAAAAGCAGGACTGGAAGATGATATGGGCTGGATCCTACCTATGGGGTGTGGGTTGGGGCATCCTTGGGGAGGCTGTCATGCCCTGTCTCTGCCCCACAGAGGAAGATTGCCAGAAATATATTCTGAAGCAGCAGCAAGAAGAGTCTGAGAAGCCCTTACAGGTGGCTGCTGTAGACAGCAGTGTCATACGGACAGGGGAGCTGGCAGGCATCACCACCCTTGATGATCCCCTGGGTAAGGACCCAACACTGCTGTCCTGTGCCAGGTGGGACAGGTGGACCACAGGATAGTGTGGTGTTCAGAGCAGTGGTATCACTAGGAGGGTGCGGAGTGTGCAGACTACACTGGGTGTTGCTGTTAGAGGGAGTGACAATAAAATACTGTCTATAAAATTTTTGTGCCGTGTTTCAGCAGAAATTATTTTTTATAAAAATATCCCTGCAGTTAGTAATAACAGCAAAACTATTTTTCGTAAGCCTGGGTTACATGTATCAATATACCTTCAAGGCCAAAATTCTGCGCTAATGTACATCTTGAACCTTCTAAAGCGCTTGGCTCAGAGCTGTCAATATTACTCAGTTACAATGATACTTCGAATCACGTGGTTTCATCAGCATGTGCCACAAGCAAGCACTGTTGTTTTCGTTGATGCCAGTGTTTTTATAGTCACTGATTTTGTCAAATTTTCTGGTGTTTTAGCTACAATACTGTGGTAATTAGTATTCATGAACCTATATCAATAACTTTTTTTGAGAATGAAATAGTAATTAAAGGAAAAAGGAGAAAAATGAAAAAAGGCTTCTACTCAGTTACTAATAATATTGTAACTAATAATGTAATTCAATACATTACATTAAAAAAATATACATACAAAAAAATACAAGATTTTACAAAACAATTTTATAGTTAGTATTTATATAATCTAAGAAATATTACATTTAAGCAATTTATAACTCTATTTTTTACATACTATTTTATAATTAAAATTAATAGTAAACATTACTAAGGATTCTGTATGATCTGGTATGGGAAGAGGTCCATGAGGGGGGTGACACCATGAAGTTAGCACACTGGGTGACACCAACCCTAGTGATACCACTGGTTCAGAGCATAGATGCTGGGAGCAGATGGGTTGTGGGACCTTGGGCAAGTCACTTAATCTCTCTGAGCCTGTTCCCTCACCTAAGAAATAGGCATGGTAATGGTCTTACCTCTGGATGACTATGAGACTCTCATGAAGTGAGGTCTGTCTGTTGAATGGTTAATCCAGAATTTGGATGGGTGCATGGGGGGGATTGGGTTCATCTTTCCTCTGCTGGGATGGGTACTTTCTCTGAGTAGTGTCCTCTTAAGATGTGTGTAGGGTGACCTAGTCTGGACTCCTCCCCAGCCTCTCCTGTGAAGCTAGGCCTATCACCCTTGTGCTCTGTCCCCAGGGCAAGTGCCCGAGCGTTTTGATGCCTTCATCTGCTACTGCCCCAGCGACATCCAGTTTGTGCAGGAGATGATCCGGCAGCTGGAACAGACAAACTATCGGCTGAAGTTGTGTGTGTCTGATCGTGATGTCTTGCCTGGCACCTGTGTCTGGTCCATCGCCAGTGAACTCATTGAGAAGAGGTTGGCCAGGGGCAAGCGGGTGGGTGCATGAAGCCCTGCCAGGGATCCTTACACTGGGCTTCTAGCCTGGACACTGGAGCCCTTCTCAAAGCTATCCCTCAGAACATGGGGCTATCCTGGGCTAGGTTGCCACAGTGCCTACAGCGTGACCACTCTCAAATAGGTGTCGCCGCATGGTGGTGGTCGTCTCTGATGATTACCTGCAAAGCAAGGAATGTGACTTTCAGACCAAGTTTGCACTCAGCCTCTGTCCAGGTAAGTTCAGCTTAGCCCTAGCCAAAGAGGACACCATCTTTTCTTCTCTTGTCTGGTTGGCAGGGCCTCAGGATGCCAGCCTTTCCTTACCAAGGGTTATAGATGCAGCACTGAGGAAGCCCTGTGGGCTTCTGCACACCCAAGTGTGTGTGACTCTTTCTGTGGTGGAATGTGTGCCAGGAGTGCCTGCTCAGGGGAGGGCTGAAGCCTAAAGTTAACCCCTGTGCTGGGCACAGGCCCCACTCCACCAGGAAGCAAGGCCCTGGTACCAGCACCGTGCCCCTTGTGCCCCTTGGCTTGCAGGTGCCCATCAGAAGCGGCTGATCCCCATCAAGTATAAGGCAATGAAGAAGGAGTTCCCCAGCATCCTGCGGTTCATCACTGTCTGTGACTATACCAATCCCTGCACCAAGTCCTGGTTCTGGATCCGCCTCGCCAAAGCCCTGTCCTTGCCCTGAAGGCTCCCTAGGACCCTGGGTGTACATATGTCTGTCTGTCTGTCCATGCATGTCTGCCCCTGTCTCCTGCAACTACAGGGGAAATCTGTGCTCTACTTGCCTCAAGATGCCTGGACTTGCCAACCCCACAGACACATCTGCAGCCTCAATGGCTGCTCTTATATCTAAATATCACATCTTATGTCCTGCGTGGAACCAGTGGCTATGAGTGGTGTGTCCACCTGCAGGATGATCAACTGGGACAGTGGAAAGCATGGCCACCTGGGACCACGAAGAGGACCAGAAGAGCCAGCTCTAACCTGTCCACATATCTTAGGCCTCAGTTTCCCTACCTAAAAACTAAGTAGGATGGAGGAGCGCAGGCATCTGTATTTGAATCACAATGGTAAAGCATTCTCTGGATCTCCTAGGAGGATAATCTTTGCCTAGAGCAGGCTGGCTGCCTAGGCCTTATGCTGGGCACTACTGGGACTGCAGCACTGCTGACACAGCTGTTTCCACAATGGTGCCTACTGATGCTTTAGTGCCTCAATATACACCTTACTTTCCACTTTTCTTCTGGTGGTGGGAATACTCATGGGGCTGGTGGGAAAGCAGACTCACCCAGAGTAAGGAGATCCCACCTTGAGCCTGGTTCCCCACTGGGCCCACCTCTCATCTGCCTCATTGAACCTCCTAGCTTCTGCTCCATCTTCAGGAGCCACAACTCCTTGATTCCAACCTGAGCAGCTTGGGCTGCTTTTTACTTGGACCTATGGAGATGCCTGCTATCAGGCTCTCAGTTCTGCCTGGGATCCCAGACTCTGGCATATCCATCCAGGATAGGTTCTGGGGCTGGGTCTCCATGGCAATGCAAGCAGGAAATCTTCCCTGGACCACTCACATTGAGCTTTCACACCAACTTTCTATACCTTGATTGCCTTAATCAGTTGTTTGCTGGGGTCAGTTTATAAACAGCAGCCACACAAGAACCTCCCGCTCTGAAGTATGTGGGCTCACAGACATGTTCAGACTCATACACCTTCACACACATGCACAGATCCTTACACACACACATTTCCTAGGGACAACTCCTAGGAATGGCTGTGTAAAAAAGTTCTGCTATCAAAGGGGCCCAACCATCTCCCTTGATAAAGATGGAGCACTCTTGTAATCCTTGACTCTTTGAGTGGGGTTACCTCCTCACCTTTTTCCCGTACTCTTTGAAACTAGACTTTGAAAAGGAACCAACATGCCAGCATTTGTACCTTCAATGAAGCACAGAGAGGAGAGCTGCCCAAAGTCACACAATAAGTTAGCTGCAGACACAGCTGTGTTTCTTCTCCCAGGGAATTTGCAGGTCCCTCCAATCTCTCCTTCAGGGAGAGAATAGCATGGTCTCAGGTCTCTAAATCCATGAGAAAATGCCTATCTTTTGTGCTCTGCCTCCACCCAAGGCTGGGCAAGGTGCCTTCCCTTAGGATCTTCCCAGAGGATTTAGAATCACCTCCTGATCTTAATGAAGCTCTAGGTTACCAAGCTCCTGCCCCCTTTAATAAAGGGGAGAGTTTTAAAACCAGTTCAAGGAATTCTCTTCCACACTTGCTTTGTACGCATTGTGAGAATCTCAAAGAGAACTTCTTTTTGAATGTGTGTGTTTGTTATTCCTCCTTATATATTGTGGGTTTACAATAAAGAGTTCTCTGCTTTGGGAATAGCAGGTCTTGTTTGTGTCTGGAAGAAGACTGGGAATAGTAACTGGTGGGAAGGCTGAGAAACTGGCCCTGTGTGTTGGTTCTGGCGTGTTTGGTGGGGCTTCCTGAAGGCTAGGCCCCTTTCCCACAGGCCCCAGGCCTCAGCAGGCGTCCTACTCTTGGCTCCAGACATTTGAAGTTTGCTGGCCTCTTACTGAGCTTACTTGAGATGGTTTTGGTGTGGACCATGTTTCTGTGTCCTGGACCAGCCAGTGGGCAGGGGCTGCTCTTCTAGGTCCTAAGGAGAGTCTAGAGACCCTACCTACTCCAGTCCATACATCTGAGAGCTCAGCTGTTGTCACTAATGGTCTTCCTTGGGCATAGCTGTGTTAATCCTAGGGTATTGGTCTATTTTGTTAAAATATATCACTTTTTCACTCTTCATGCATGAAAATTTTGGCAAATACAAAGATCAAGCTAACTCATAATCCTAACCCCAGAGATAAACAGTAGTGACATTTTAGAGTGACTAGATGTTGTCATGGCAACCCCATGTGTGCAGAGTAGACTGCACTCCATGAGGTTTTCATACTGTGACCTTTAGGAAGCTGATTGCCACATCTTTGTTCTGAGGTGCCTCGGTGTGTTCAAAGTATAAACCTTTTGCTTAATCATTTGTGCCACACAAGGACTCCATAAGTCAGAATTGACTCAATGGCAATTGATTTGTTTTGGTTTAGACCTTATCAGTGACCATAACTTTTTCCTCAATGATCTGTCACCATGTCCTGGCTCATGAGCCACTTGGATGATGGAGGCCCCCCAGCCTGGCCCCTCTTCCCTCGAGGACTCCTGGGAGGGCCTGTATGTTCAAAGCACCCCTGTAGGACCTTCCTCTCCTGCATCCCCTGGAGGCAGAACCACAGTAAAACCAGAGTAGTGGCCCCAGAATCTGCCCAATTCTGCCCATGGCTTGAGAGATAGTCCTTGGGCCCACTCCCAGTCATGCAGGGGTATAAAAATAGTATGGCAGTGTCTTATCTCCTTGTCTAACTTCTCAAGGGGAGAGGAGATTCAAGACCAACATCAGCCCAATCCTGATTCCTATGAAGTAGAGTTTAGACATACTACCTCTCTCCAACATTCTGTCACCAGCAGCCCCCATTCCCCCCTCCCCACCCACAACGCTCTCCAATTCTCTGAGTTCAATAATTCATTGCGATGGGCACGCAGAACTCACAGATCATACTCACAGTTATGGGATTTATTATGGAAGTAGGTTATAACTTGTGATGAAGATCAATAAGCTACAACTTGGAATCAGGATCAGGAAACATGTAGGCAGTCTCACTTCTTCAGTATAGGACAGCTCTCTCAGCTCCTACCAGCCATGAAGGGCTCCCCTTGGCCCACCAAGAACAAACTCTTTTTGGCCCCCTGAGAACAGGCTATTCTCAGCCTTTTCAGGACAAGCCTCCTCTCTCGGTGCTTAGCTCCAGCTTCGGTCTGACCTCTTTCCTGCTTGGCAAACGTTACAAAACTCTTTAGTTCTGCCAGCAAGTACCCAGAGGCACCCCATCTGTCAGCAAACCTCCTGCCCAAAGGTGCTCAGCTCTGTCACTCCATGGACCAGCATGCCTACTGTAGCCACCTTGCTCTGTGGGCCAGGAAGCCATCTTGCACCAGTATTCTAGTTCTGCTGGCACTATTTCTCTGCTGCCACATCTTGCCATCTTGCATTGACTCTGGTATTTCAACTCTTTTTCTGTCTCCTTGATCTAGGAGATTCTTAGTGCAGAACGCTAGGTTGAAAGGACATGCTTCACTCCTCTGAAAACCAAAAAAACTCACTGCCATCAAGTTGGATCCAACTCGTAGTGACCCCTCCTTAGGTTTCTGAGGCGGTATCATTACAGAAGTAGATTGTCCAATCTTCCTTCCAAGGAGTGGCTGTTGGGTTTGAACCACCAGCCTTCTGATTAGCAGTCAAGTACCTTAGGCACTACACCATCAGAGCTCCTGCTTCACTTCTGGCTCCTCCTTTTCTTGATGGTAGTGAGATCCCTTTTTTCTGCTTCTGGAATTGGATCATTTTAAGTCTAGTGGGATGGCAAAACTGACCAATCCCTTACAAGACTTCCATACATCTTATTTCCACAGTCTCATCCCTAACTGTTCCAGGTACCATATTTGCATTATTACCAAGCCGTCCAATCTCTTTGGTGAGCCACAACACCTTATTTGCATGGTCCACCCAATAATTTTGTGGGAGTCACAAGACCATGAATGGCTTTGTTGTTGTTGTTGTTATGTGCCGTCGAATCAGACCCAACTCATAGTGACCCCTCCTTGGGTTTCCGAGGCAGTGTCACTACAGAAGTAGATTGCCCCATCTTCCTTCCAAGGAGTGGTTGGTGGGTTTGAACTGCCAGCCTTCTGGTTAGCAGTCAAGTGCCTTAGGCACTATGCTACCAGAACTCCTATGAATGGCTAGAAGGGCCATATTACGTAATTCACTGCACCACTAAGGGTCTCTGGGTGATACCAGGCTCCTCATGGAAAAAGCCTCTGTTCTCAGGCCAGCCTGGCAACCTGGAAATGTGTTCTCTCATCCCTATCTCCACCCTCCTGCCATCCTTCACTCAGTGCCCATATCCCCACTGGTTAGATTCCCAAATACAGATAAAGTATCCTTGTCTCATTTGGTTTTAGTTCTCTAACTCACTACCATTGAGTTGGATCCAACTCATAGCGACCCCTCTTTGGGTTTCCAAGGCAGTATCACTATGGAAGTAGATTGCCTAATCTTCCTTCCGAGGAGTGGCTGGTGGGTTTGAACTGCCAGTCTTCTTTAGTTCTCTAGGAACCGTGAGATAGAACCCTTCATTTTTCAGTAGGGAAAATTTACTGCTAAAAATTTTAAAGACAAAAGTGGGAAATTCTGGAGAGCAGTAGCAAAATTAAAATTAAAAATTATAAGTCTACATGACAGTAGACCTAGATTCTTCCATAAGTCAATGACAGAAGTGAGAGGGATTTCCTCTGGATTAGACCAGACTCAAGAGATATAATCAACTGTATTAATATAGTGTGGACCTTCTTTATTTACATCCAACTTCAAACAGACTGTGGTAGTTAAGGTTGTGTGTCAACTTGGCTGGGCCTGGTTGAGTGGCTGGGCAGCTAGATGTAGTTATTCCCCATGGTGAGATTGGCAATCAATTCCATGGTAGAATCTACTGGAGCAGCTGAATAGCTGCTTTAGGGATGTGGTCTGCTTCCAATATATAAGCAGCAGCTTTGAGGAAGGTCTCAAGCTTTCCGGCA